ATATACCCGAACATGTACAATACAGCCTCCGCTGAAGGAAGCTTCTTAAAATTAAAACTCATTAAAAAGTATCTCAGGAATGCAATTTCACAGAAAAGACTTTCAGCGTTGAAAATTTTATGTATCGAGGCAGATATATACCCAAGCTGGATTATGAGGCTATAATTAAACAATTGAGCAGGATAAAAAGCAGAATATCCATTTCTTCATTTTTCTTTGAAATTGTTTGGTGTTGGTACTTAATGATTTTATATGAATTAAAATTTCATAATGTCAAGTTTTGTTTTTCATTTTATATAATCCGTGTTCTTGCGCGGGCAGAGAGAATGTATCTTGCTGACTTAAAATTTAGGTCTTGCGCCGCCACTGTTGATGAAATATATAACTATGACATCTGGACGTTGAACATACCCGTGACCATGGGTGCTGTAAAGTGCTCGAAACGTCGGCTATGTAAAAAGTTAATTAAGTATACGCGATAAAATCCGTAAAAACTAGTAATATTTAAATGTGGCGTTATTTAAATTTAAGATACATGTAATCAAAATCATTTATTTTATCAAATTTTCAGTTTTCTTTGGAAACGTCCAAGTCTTCGCGTGAAATGTCTGTTAGTGATGTTTCCTTGGAACCGGTTCAGCCGTTAAATATCTGTTCGTGATGTTTCGTTAGAACTGGTTCAGCACTTCGGAAGACTAGCCCAGATAGGCAGACTGACGGACAAAAACCTTAACAATATTTACTCATGACTTCATGGCATGCGAATAACCCCTTCAGCTCAATATGAGGCAGCTATTTCGATATTGAAGACAAACACTTCAATTATATGTATATAGGTTACAATCTTCTTGTTCATTATTACTTTGAACCAAAAGAAAAATCACCATTTTAAATTATTAACTAAACTTATAAAATAAATAAAACCGAGTTAGTAACCATAGAAAAGAAATTAACTCCAACTTCAGAAACTATTATGAGGAAATAATTTTTGTTTTTTCAAGTAGATTGTACTTTTTATGCGTTTAATTATTTAACCCTTCGAGTTGACTAAGAAATATCACTACTTTAAGGTAAATAACTAGAATATCGTCAAAATAGTTTAAAATAAACATAATATAAAAAATTATTCCGGGATCCTAATGCCATAATAAAAAATGTAACTAACGTTGTTTTGCATATCGATAGCCTTTTTTAAATAAATATTTCAGAGGATACATTAACCGACAGCATTAAAATAATGCCGCAATTGTCAGTAAAACGTAATCGGCAAATAACACTTTATACTCGTACTCTCGCGCGACACAAGAATGTTTAGTAAATAAAGTAAACTGTTAGGTTGCGGCTTAAAATATTTTGATAACAAAAAATCTTACGCGTATACAGTCTACGATATGTATTTTTCCATACGTGGTACTTAAACTTCTACTAATTATATGTATAATATTAGATCGTTAATATTTTAGAAGGCGAGAACTGTCGAGAACTGTGACAGTTACACAACGTATCGGACGCTCGCAAACAAACCATGTATATTGTTTCATTTAGCACTATTAAATCTAACTTGTCAATCTTTAACCTACGCCGCCTTCAAGCATAACAGAAAAATTATTGTCTTCGTGCAATAATTTGTGTATGTAAAATGCCTCCACAAAACAGGAATATATCGTGTTGTGGATAATTAAAAAAAAAAGAAAAATTAAATGCAGACCAGTCATATACCGCGTCATGGCAACCTAAAATCACTTCATAAAATGATATTTAAAGTCAAAACCGTTGATATCACCAATATACTCGTTTTGTCAACTATTTACATTTTCGATAAATTTCGGTGAGACATTTAAATAATACATTCGAGAATCTAAATGTTTGTGATTTATTATGTGGACGGTAAAATCAACAGCGTTTTCCTGTTATTTTTAGGCAAATTTTTGCATAACGTACGACGCAATACTAAATATTATTACAACATTAAATTTTACTCATAAACAAGAATCTAATATTATAACTAGTAAATAATTTGCTGATAGGAAATGGGCAGCAATATTTTCCTAATAACGACTAAATATAAAAATCTGCGGTTGCCAAGCGTGGCAACTATGTTAAATATCCCCCCCCCCCACCTCCCCTTATGAGGCAATATATGCGGGAAGCCTATCTTCAGCAGTGGACATTAATAGGCTATAATGAACATACATTATATTATATAAAAAATATATTCAAAAGTTTTATTTTAAATATTGATCTATATGGGTTTGTTATACAAAGGATTTTAATTTCTTAAACTATAATTTTATTTTATTACGAAATAAATTATGTTATTACAAAATATGACATACACGTCCAGTGACTGCTTGGTAGTATCACGTAAAAATATTGACAAAATTGAGGCAGAGAAAATTATCCACACAGTTATTTGGTCTTAGTCCCAAAATATATTCTTTGTGTACTTAATAACCTACAAAGGGTTGTCCGTTTTTTATTATGTGCGAGCAGCTATGCAGGTCTAGGGTAAAATACCAGTATCACTGCGACCTAAAAGATCTATTGTGATGGATGTAGTTCACTGCTAAGCCTGATGTCTTCAATGAATAGAAGGAGTTGCTTAGCCGTAAGCAATTTCACTTCTTCTGGGCGGAGTACATTGCTTCCCTTGCTTGCTGTTGTGTTTGCGCGTTAAGGGTCCGCAGTCAGTTAAGATGTGCAAAGGCGTTTCTTCCGTTATAGAACAGAACCGACATATCCTTTAGTGTCTTAGTCCCAGAAAGGACATGTGCTTTATAAGACAACTATGTCCAGTTAGGTCTCTTATCAGAATGCGCAATTTATTATTACTTAATCCTAGAACTTCTGTCGCGAATTTACGATGAAAAAAGCCCGGATTAAAGTTTTAGAATGTTTAAGCCTAGTTTGTCAAACCAGATCTTAGGTGATTTATTGTGATAAAGAGTTTCAAGGGTCAATCGGGCTAGGCTTTTTGAGATTCCACAAAATGGCTCAGGTCCATATTGTGTACTCTTTGAGCCCTCCAGTGCAATTTTGTCGGCAAATTTATTGCCGACAATACCCGCGTGATTCGGAACCCATCTTAAGGCGACCCTGTTGTTACATATCAGGCGTTTAAGCCGTTCACGCAGTCCCCAACTAATTTCGAGTTCACGAAGTTTGACCTAAGCACTAGCAGTGCTGCTTGACTATCAGAATTTATATAAATTATATGGTTGACGTAGTGTTTTTGCAGATTGATTTCTACTGAAGTATGGCGAAAATTTCTGCCGTGAAGATAAAGGTGAATCTACCCAAATTTATACTAAATTTGAATTTGAGGCGTTCCCCATAAGTTCCAAAGCCTGCGTCGAGGCCCATTTTTGACCCATCACTACACCATATGAGGCTACCGACCTCACAGACAACCTGGCCATTCAGCCAGTTTTCTCTGAAACTATATACTTTTTATCAAAAGTGTATAGTGGACGCATGATATGCATGGATCTCAATCTATAAGAGAGCAAGCTCAAACCGTCCTGGGTGTTAATCCTATACAAACTAGCCCTGCCTCCTTCCCTAAATAAAGATCAAAGGGGATTAGGCATAGAAGTGCATTAAGAGCCGCTCCAAGCGATGATCGCGTAGCTCCAGTTGCCATTAAGCAGGCAGTCCTTTGTAGACTATTTGGTCTGTCCGCAGTCGTCTTTGGCCTTGTTACACCAGATAGTGCAGGCATATGTGAGAATCGGCCTCACTATGCTGCTGTACAGACATAGGATCATACTGGAACGCTAGCCCCAGTTGTTTCCGACCAATCGACTGCAACTAAAACAATTTTTGCCTTATGTCATACGTTGCTGAGGTGAGAGTTCTACGATAGTTTTTGGTCTCTTTTTGGTTAAGGGTATTATAAAAGTTATATCAGAATTAACTGATAAAATGATATCTCTAACCCTGCTGTTTATGGTGTTTAGGGCTTCTTGTATGATTAACGATAAAGTACTTTGGCAAAAGCCCTTCGCAATGATCAAAAGGTCATCAGCATGACCCAGTGTGTCAATACATAGGTCTGCCATCTTCTATAATAGTTTGTCAACCGCAAGAGTCCAAAGAAGGGGTGACAAAACCTCAATCGAAGTTTGAAACAGCGTCATTTTTGCCTTTCTGTTTGAGAGCATCGACTTCACCCACCTGATGGTTGTTTTTTAGATATCAGGCCCCCAATAAGCAGTGATGTGTGGCTACTGTCGAAGGTGCCCTCAATATCTAGAAAGGCACAGAGAGCTATTTCTTTATCCTTCAGTGCTTTTTCGACCCTGTCAATGACACTGATCAGGGATGTTTCTGTAGATTTGTCTCTGCGGTAAGCATGCCGGTTGTAATGTATGGGCCTCATAGCTAGGGCTACATCCCTTATATATCTATCTATTACATTTTCCAATGTCTTAAGAAGGAAGGAATATAGGTTTATAGATCTAAAGGACTTTGGTAAAGCGTAGTCCTTTCTACCAGCCTTACATATAAATAGAACTTTGACAATTGTCCATCGTTCTGGAATATATACCCATGCAAAACTTGATCTAAAGATTTTCACCAGATAGGGAAGAAGGATATTGATATCTCTTTGTAGTTGGATGGGAATTATTCCATCCTCCCCGCTTGTTTTAAATGGTCTAAAGGAGTCAACAGCCCACTGCACCAGATTTGGCCTTATTATCTATTGGATTGTCCTTTGTTTCGGTTCTATTAAAAAAAAGAAGTCATAAGTAGCATACTTATTGCTAAAAAAAGAAAAATATATTCAATGAACCATAATATTATAAAAAACAACTTTTTGTTTAGGTTTAAATACAGTAGCACAAGATAAATATCTGCGTTTTTAGCAACCTTTCCTACGTGAACGTAATGTATAACGTTATGCCTGATAGACATACGAGTAGTCTTATGATTATTATCATTTAAAAAATCATAAGTGTAATCATTTATTATATTTCACTATTTGCATTTATTTACAGGACATGGTTGGAAGAAATAGCTTTAGCAAACAAGCAGTGCCGGAAACCATCGCTTCTCCGCGCGATGACTAAGACGTTCTGGTTAAGTTACGCACCTTCCGGCATCATGTTTTTCATCCAAGCAGTCATTCTCAAGTAAGTAAATTATTACATCCATAAACTTCTTTATTATATACATATTTATCGTATTTTTTACGCATTGATTATTTTCAATACGCCGTTTAATTTGCAAATTGAATAGTCAAAAATGTGAAACTGCTAATAAATAATGTAACTTATACAAGTCCAAAATGTAAACCTATTAATTATGTAAAATGACCTCAAATAAAACACGTCTATTTTTATATGGAATATATCACGTGTTGACTTGATGAAAATACGCCTTCATGTCTTTGGATAAATACCAAAATTTTTCTTAAAACCATTTGTTTTATAACGACATAATAAGCTCGTGTGTTTTATATAAAATTTCTTTAAATTTCACCATACTCTAAACTAAAGGAACAAATTAAATTTATTAAATACCGCATGACTTTTTTTAACTACACATGAAAGGCCAATTCCGAAAGTATAGGTAATATGGGAAATGCTCAAAGAGTCAAAAGTCAAAAACTCGTGGTTGTTGCCTTGAGAGGTAGGCAGAGACAACAGGCTTCCATTTGGCACAATTCTTAGAAGCGAGATACCTCTCTCACTTCTTTCACATTTACCTACGCATACACGCAAACATGCTCGTCGGTCAAAGGTACTCTGAACTTGGCACATCGTTAATATATCCCCAATTTGGTCGATAAACTTTCATCTAAGGCGTCGCTTGTCGATTCTGGCGGTAAGTACCCCATTTACTTTGTGTCCTACATTCACTCTTCGTTTGTCCTTGTCATGTCTACTTTCCCTGCTACCTTTTACCCTTATTTCATGTGTTGTTTTAAAAACCAGCATTTTCGTATTTTTGAAAACCATCACTATCGTCTTACTTGAGTTCACTTTTGTTCCCTTTTCTTTAAAGATATATTCATAAAATAGTGACAACGACGACTGAAATATAATTTGATCGTCAGCTTACAAGTGGCATTTGGTAGCTAACTCACCCATTCTTAACTCACATTCAAACTTTCCAAACAAATATCCGTAAATAAATTTAACAGCCACAGGGAAGCTGCAAAAACCTGTGTCCTTCAAGGATGCCAAACCAATCCGTGTGGGCCTCGTTGATCCTGCACTGGAGTAGAGTAACAAAAGTTTGAACCTTTAAATCCCATCCCTTTCCTATATCTAGCTTGGGCATTCAAACTTTTTCTGTCAGTTTATTTCATAACTCTATCAATGAACACCTTAGTCTAAAGTTTTTCGACAATGTTTAACAGGCTGCTTCCACGGTAGTTTTTACAGTTCTGTAACCCTTTTATCTCATACAGTGAGACTATAACGGCTTTTTACCTCCCTCCCTGCCTGATATTTACCTTGAAATGATTAGATATTCTTTCTTTTTCGTTTCAACTACTTCGTTAACTCTCTTATTTATATTTCCAACTGCTTTTTTACATACTTCAATTGCTAGCCCATCTACCCATACTTCTTTCTTTGCTTCAACTTCCATTCGTACCTCATTATTCAACCATAATGTATTATCTGAACCCGTTAATTTAAAACTAACGCATCGTATATTTAACGCCATTTTTTTTGCGCCCGAAGCAATTAAAGGGCTACCCTATACGTAGGGAGGCGGAAAATGCATTACGCATACCACGATAGCCGGTCTATCGTGGTTATGAGGGACTCGCTGTCCTACCGGGGGCCCTAAGTGATACCCTCTAAAAACCGCCTTTGGGGACAGGCAACCGGCTGATTAAGCTGTATTGTGCCTTATCGTGAGCGACCCTCTTTTGGGTAAAGAGGGCGCAGGCGGCTACGAGCCGCTGAGGGAGTGCCTATGAAGGCAAATTAATATTAGTTAATATAATAATTTAATTTAATTAGAGTTGGCCTGAGCCGCCAGGAGGCAGTTCAGATCGTTAGTTACTTTATTAGGCGGGTCCGAGAGATAGTTTCTCGGCCTGCAGACTCGATAGCGAGAGGGGGGTGGGGCTGCATAAGTAGCTGCCTCACGAATTAAATGATTTGAGTGCGACTCTGAGGCTTTGAAGAAGTTCTCAGAGAGTTTTTGGAGAAATTGTTGGATTGTGGGGAGCTCTAGGTCCCGATGAAGGTCAGCATTACGGACGTACCAAGGTGCGTTCGCAGCTCGACGACAGAAAAGGTTTTGAACTATTTTGAGTTCATTAATGATTTTAGGGTTGGCGTGGGCTAAAACGGGGCCCGCGTATGACATAACTGGTCGTATACAGACCTTATAAAGGGTACGCTTGTTTCTAAGGGACATTTTACTGTGTCGGCCCAACATACAGTTGAGCCTACTCAGATAGAACCGTGCGTGACGGGTTACTCTTTTGACGTGGAGCCTGATAGTGAGCCCTGTGTCTAGAGTGACACCTAAATATTTGGTGGTCGTATGCCAGGGGACAGGGGTCCCTAGCATACGTATTGGTGGGGTGTTTTTAAGACGGTATCGTTTATAATCGAAGTGAACGGCGGAGCTCTTCTCGGGGTTCACATCGATGCGCCATTTTTTGAACCAAGCTCCTAGGTCATCAACTGACTTTTGGATCTTGTTCCGTATGAAGGGTAGTGAGACACCTTCGCAGTAGATGGCAGTGTCGTCTGCGAAGAGGGAGAGCTGAACACCTTTCGACGGGATGGGAATGTCGTTGGTGAACAGGATGTACAGCAGAGGAGCAAGTACTGAGCCCTGAGGGACACCAGCCTTGATAGTTCGCTGTGATGATAGCGTGCCTTCGTGTCTAAAACGAAAGGTACGTTGTTTTAAGTAGGAGGCCACGAGACGTACTAGACGATCGGGGAGACCTATTTTGTAGAGCTTGTAGATAAGGCCTGTATGCCAGACTCTATCGAAAGCTTTAGCTATGTCGAAAAAGACCGCGATGGTCTTATGACGACGAGGATAGAAACCGCTGAGGATATATTCCACAATGCGGTGAACTTGTTGGGGACATGAGTGTTGGGCTCGGAAGCCGAATTGATGGGGAATGATAAGAGGGTCACCGTCTGTGGGAAACAGAAAGCGCCTCATACGTGTTTGGATGACGCTTTCGAAGAGCTTGCCCATTGCCTTGAGGAGGCTAATGGGGCGATGACTGGAGGGGAGGTTGAGAGGCTTGCCTGGTTTGGGAATTCCAATCACAGTTGCCTCTTTCCACGTAGTGGGAAAGTAACTAAGGTTGAAGCAGGCGTTGAAGATAATAGATAAAAAAGGTTAACACCTGCTCAGGAAAGTGTTTTAGGGCTTGGTTGGAGATGCCATCCGCGCCCGGAGCCTTTTTAGGCTTAAGTCCTTTGATGAGGGATGAAATCTCATCATTGGACACAGAGATAGTTTCGGAGGCCGTAGGAGGTGAGTTCCGGCGGTGGACCTCATCCTCCACTGCCTGGACGTGTGAGGGGTCGACGGGTTGAGAGCTAGGAGAGCATTGAGCGGCAATGCTATCTGCAAAGCACTCAGCCTTTTCCTCGTCCTCGAAGGCAACCGTGCCGTCGGGACAGGAGAGAGGGGGAGTGTGGGTGACAGCGTCTATGCGGAGGGCTCTGGCCATCTGATAGTACGCTGTATGAGATGGAAAGATATTCTCCATGAGTTTACTCTTTTCGAGGTCTCGAAATTCAGAGAGGCGGAAACGGAGTTCTCGTTGAAGACGATTGGCCGCGCGCCTATATTCGGGGGTGGGATATTTTGCTGTTCTCCGGAAAGCAGCTTTTTTGGCTTTTAATAGGTTGCTAATATGTAGGGGAAGCCCACTATTGTTAGCAACCGGGACGACCCTTTCGTTCTCCTTAAGGGAGGATTTAATAAGGGTGGAGAGTGAATCGACCGCGGTGTCGATTTTTTCGGGACTGTCTAAGTCCGACGGTAGGGAGATTTTAGAGTCCTGTGAGTCCAGAGCTTTAGCTAGGGACTCCTTGAATCCCTTCCAGTTAGTGAAGGTTTTCGTGTGTGTTGGAAGAGGTGGCTGATGGGCAAGAGTGTGGGAGACCGGTCGGTGATCGGATCCTAGATCGTCTAGTGTCTCGATTGCTCTGAAGTTGAGAGAAACTCCTTGGAGTAACGCAAAATCTAGTACATCGGGGGCGTGATGGGTGTTACCGGGAAAGTGAGTAACACCGAGGGGACTATGGACGGTAATATCAAGAGACTGCGTGATATCGAGCAGTATCTTGCCACTAGGGGACGTAGTACGGCATGTCCATTCAATATGCTTGGAGTTGAAATCTCCAAACATAATGACTGAATTGCCTAAAGATAAAATGGCCTCAAAATCTTTTTTGAGGGGATGGGTTCCTGAAGGAATGTAACAGGAGGTTATGATGATGGACTGATGTCCAGACATAGCTAGCCTGCATACCGTGACTTCCATGTTGGTAAGCTGCGGAGTAGAAATGGGCGAGCAATGAAGTGTCTTCTTGTAATAGATGGCCGTTCCGCCGCCTCGGCGGTCGGGTCTGTCGTTACGAAGAAGATAGAAGTTTTTAATAGAAAGGCCTTTAGTGTTCTTGGTTTTGAGATTAGTTTCCTGTAGGAGGAGGAAATCGGCTTCACGATTCCGAAGAAAGAGCTTAAGCTCTGGGAGGTTATTTCGCAAACCGCGAATATTAAATGATACAAGCAATAAACCCTTAGGTTTGATACGACCGTGAGATTTTGGTAGATTAATTTGCTCTGACATTGAAGTTAAGTTAATTAAGTTAACTTAACTTACAACGCTAACAGGAGATTATTATGTTCTGCGAGAACGAGGAGACGTTCTTGTGGGGACTTCGCAGCGCGCAGTTTGCGTGCTACTACCGTGATTTCCCTGATGTCTATATTCTATATAATAGCGGAATACAGTGTATTGTGTCAGCAGCTGTGGGCTCTGACTCATGGAAGTAGGAGGTTGTCCGCGGTGGATCAGCCTTTTTGGAGCCCCAGGGGAAGACTAGAGGCTGCATGGGCTTGGAGAAGCCCGGAGAGGGCCGAATTATGCCCTGAGGGGGCCTAGGGGAACCCTGAGAGGGTCGAGAGAAGCCCTGGATGGGCTGAGAAGGACCCTGACGGGGCCGTTGGTAGAGGGCCGGGAATGAGCGGTCATTGACCGGCGGTGGAGCTTGCCTACTGGGGCGAGGTTGGGGTGCGCGGGGGCAGCCCTTGTAGTTAGCCGGGTGGCCTGTCTGTTTGCACAGGACACATGCGGGCGGGGATTCGGCGTCTTTGGGCCGGGGGCACTCTTTAGTGTTGTGGGGTTCGAGGCACTTAACGCACCTGGGTGTGGCGGAGCAGTTGGCCGCCGCATGACCATATAGTTGGCAGCGGTGGCACTGCGCCGGGAATCCGGGCCTATGTGGGGGCTCAACCTTCACTCTCGACAGGCCACACACTGTGCGTACCTGCCGGAAGATGGCTTTTGCCTCCGGCACGTTGGATAGGATGACTAGGGCAAGGTTAAATCTCTTGCCCGTTCTATTGTGCATTTTGTGCACGGCTTCCACGGGGAAGCCTTGGGACTTAAGGTCCTCAAGGATTTCCTCGTTTGAGAATTTTTAACGCCATCCCATAATCCCGCTTATAACGGTAAAATACTACAAAGTATTGTAGAATAGGAAACTAATGGTTACGTTATTAAGAAAATAATATTTATCGCGTCCCGAGCTCTCAGAAAAACAGTAGACAGTAGCTACTGACCATCAGATAAACTTTAAGTTCGTTTATAACTTTTAGATTTATAAAAATATATTACATTTATTAATCTTTAACTCATCAATTGTTCAAAACAAAGTCAGTTGTTTTCAATATATAGTCGGACTTGATGTGGTATGTCTTAAGCATTGCACTGCATTCCGTTTCACAAATTTATTGATTGTGATCAGAATATTTTCCAAAGAACGTTTCAATTCATGGGTTGAACACCATACCGCGACAGTCAATGTTATACGGAGTTTGTTTTCGAAGTCATTCGAAAACTTCGACAACATGGTTTGGGTTTCGATTAGTTTGCCAAAATCAGCCCCGAGACTCCTTTGAGCGTTATTCTCTATACCCTATACGTTTATTTGTCCTTTCATTACAGCCTATAAAAGTCCAATGTTAAATATAGGCCTCCTCATAAGTCCAAGTGTATATTCATCATAGTCGCCACGCTTAGTAAGCGGATTAGCAACCGCAGTTTTTTATTTTATAGACTGCTGCCTATCATCTGGTTTCTCTCTATTGTCTCTCAAAATACCCACGGGACTATATGGGCTAGTGGATATTCTTATACCGCCACGGTCATCTATGCCTAGTTAAAAAATTCAACCTGAATGATATATAAAATTACATTGTATAAAATTATAAAACTTTCTTCATATTTTATATTCAACACATAATACGTTACGTATTCAAACGCAAATATAAATTATAAATATGAATTTGTACGTCTGCTTCCAAAATATAGCCTAAGCCAGCGTAATATTGAAGTAGGGCCAATGGATGTAATATATATAACGTAATGCAATGTTATATTGGCATGGGCAGCAATAATTTTGCTTCACTGAACATAGTTATAGTATTTTATAAGCCTCATCGTATGAATCATACACACAATCTAATGTTAAAAATATTTTTGTTTATCAGGCCCTTCCAACCAGTCGCGCTGAGCATGTTGTTGTCATACTGGGAGCCGGGTTCAAACATGTCTCGCGAGCAGGCGATTTATTGCGCAGCGGGCGTTATTCTGATGTCATTACTTATAGCTTTTCTCAATCACCACGGTACTTACTCTACCCAGCAGTTTGGCATGAAAGTCCGTATCGCTGCATGTTCACTTATTTATAGAAAGGTATGTTTAGATAGAGTTAATAAAACTATAAGTTTTCTTGTTTAATCAACGATTATTTGCAATCTAATATATCACATATGAGTACAATTTGCATAACAATGTTTATACATTCAATCGTACATAAATAGTTATATTAAACAGAGTAATTAATTTTAATAACATGTTAACGGATAATGTTGGTGTGTTTCTGGTGGCTTGTTTGTACTTATATCAAACTTTTTACTTGTTCTTTTTTACTAAATACTCCTCTTTACAAAAACAGATAATGCTTATAGGTAAGTTATAGATATTTTTAAGAAGTCCCAATAGTTCAAAGTTTTACTCCCAACTGTTTTAATAAAATTACAACCTTATAAAAAAATCATAGCTTTTATATACATAGCATAGCCAGAGCTTAATCTCAGTAGAGCGGGGCAGTTTTTCTACGCAGGTGCAGGTTTGGTCGCACATGGAATACTGTTTCCATCTCTTGGCTGGGGCTCCCCAATGCCAGTCCCTTCCATTTGATCGCATCCAGCGCAGAGCTGCTCGATATGCTGCTACATATGATACCCCTAACTTATATTATGTTTCTTTATCTTATTCGAATCATAGGTGATGCGTATGAGCTCCGGTGCCCTGGCGCAGACAACGGCTGGTCAAGTTGTAAACCTTCTGTCGAACGACGTCAACCGCTTTGACTATGCATTTATCTACACACATTTCATCTGGATCTTGCCAATACAAGTCATCGTGGTGTGCTATCTTATCTACGTGAAGATTGGTTATGCTGCCGTCATTGGCGTTGTTGGCATAGTATTGCAAACTTTGCCCGTGCAATGTAAATATTTAAAATATCATTCATATTTTTGTTAAACGAACTGCAATATATTTCATAGAATACTACTTATAATACATACATAATAGAACAACAGAGTAGGCGGAGCCCGTGTAGCCACTAACATGTCACTAACAGGTCAATTCACACCTATAAAAGACAACACATTCAATCGTTTTTAATTTTCATGTCAAGCGTTGCTGTATGCAAATTATTTAAAAAATGGCAAATATTACTTGTCGAAAGAACAGCGGGAAATGGAATTTAAATGAAGGACACATATCCTACAACCGAAAGTAAGTAAAGTAAGTAAATCAGTAAGTCGAAACTAACAAAATATAAATTTTGTAAATATTAGAAACAAAAATAAAGAAATATTGATGTGTTAAAAACAATAATCAAAAGTCTAAAATTTGTAAATTCGCTCCTAAGAGTAATTACTAGCATAGAGTGAGTCTTAAAAACAGAACAAAACCTCATCCAACCGAACTCTTTATGCATATGACATTTCCTACAGGATAAAAAAATATAGTTATATGAATGTCACCATTTCCACTTTACAAGGTTGTAGACGTTTTTTTAGCTTTTTTATATACCATAGACAATTCTAGTGATGGTAGCTATAGAAAAGAACAGCCTTATCGATATACTCGTTTTATCTATGGTTCAATAAAATTCAGCAATTAATGAAATTTCATAACGTTTTCAATGAATATTAATTTAGGTTACCAACTAAAGGAAATATCAAAAAACCTACTAAGAAAAATTCTTTTTTCCAGATTTGGTAACGCTTTTTCATCAGCTTTACATTAGTTAGGTGTGAGCAAAATAAACAAAGTAAAAATTCAAACAAAATGTTTATTTGCCATTTACAAAGAAAATGAAACCAATTTAACTGTATATGTTTATTATATCTTATACCTATATTACTCATTTAATTTAGTAAAACCTTTATACCTGCCACAGTTTCTCAAATCGTCCGGGGTTAACTGGTAGAGAACGCCATAAGACAATAAGTCAGCATCTTATATCCCTCATTATAAGGTGTGTAAAAAAGATGAAATAAATCAATAAAATACTAATTGGTACCCTTGACAAGAAGCTGGCTGTGACAAAACATATAAATACAACAGTACTAAAAGCTTAAAAAGTCAAAGGTTTGGTCTACGTACTTGCAAACCTTTTTCGGGTATAAACTGCCCCCAACAGTGTTTATTACGCTAGTAGAATTTGTTCTCTCTATTATATTACGCATAAACAACAAATTAAAAGAATTCAGACGAAGTTTATTAGGTATTTGAATTATAGCATTCACGCGTATATACTTTATTATATTTACCATATTATACATTCTTAGAAAATAGACGTAAGATATGATGATGTTACTGCGTCCAAAATAGGTATTTTCTCGTTTCCTATATTTTCGTTGCTTGGGATCTCTTGCAATCTATCATTTAAGGTTATGTTTTTCTTTATAATCTCTCCAGCAAAGATCGTGTAGGCTGATAGCCTACACGATCTTTGCTGGAGAGATTTGATTTCCAGTAGACGTTTTCTTGAAAGATTCTGAGCTTTAACTAATCTTTGTTCCCACTTATGTATACGTAGATTATCTAAAGCGCAATTTGAACTTGTGGATGGAGCTAAATTTTCACTTATGTTTATTGGTGCTGATTATAGTTGTTAATATCGGTATGAAGTTTAGAAAATACTGTGAAGTAATGATTGCAAACTTATCCTTCTATATAAAATATTATTATTTAATAGTCTTCAGCCAGTTATTTTTAAAAGGGGTTACACTATTCTCACATTCAATCAATTTTTCACTTTCTGTAGGGGGCGAACTATCCATAATTTCCTCTGGTTCCTAAAACATGTTTGGAGTTTCAAAACGGATGTAATGATATTATTAATAATGCTATTCGCATGTTGGTATTCCATTGACTGTTTGCTTTTTTGACATAATTATATTAAATGATATGTAATCAAAATAAAATTAAACATAATTAAGTAATAAATGTATTCCTACGATGTATAAAGTAGGAATTGTATTTAATTACAGCCTTCGCCGTCTCCCTTCGTCAACAAAACAATGTTTGGAGAAGTGTTTTGAGCAAATGCGTCTATTCTTTGTCCAATGGATTTGTGACCGTGGAATTACTCTTAACCATTTTTTTTTCAATTCTTTATGATTTTTAAGCATACTAAAACAACGAAAATACAAATAAGAATGTCGATATGGCGTTGTCGACTTTAACGATATGCCTTAAAACCGCATCACTATTGTTTAAAATACATATTATATTTCAACCTCAGTTTTACAAAAAACCGACTTGTAATTTTCAAAATAATGTGAAATACAGTTTACATACAGTTATAATATAATTTTATTCCAGTATAATGAAAACGTACACACAGGTGGAAGCCTACGAATTCTGAATCATGCTCCTTACGGGAAGAATGAGATTTGCATCCTAGTATAAAACAGGCCAACTCCATTGATATATTTTTAGAGATATAATTTTGTAGTAATATTTTTAGTAAAATATTAGCGACAACAGACGTCAAACATCACAACAAATAATACGACTGAATTAAAATTACATTTTTCAAATAAATCAGCCAGTACGATCTTGGACAAAATAAATACGATCCTATTAACTTTTTTATTTAGTAGTGTAAAAAGAGACCAAATATGACCACTTGACATTTCTTTTTCCACTCATGAATTATACGCAACATCTTTGAATATATTTGTCACCTTTTGACTCATTTGAAAATTAAATTAGAAAAAGCAAGACAACTACAAGTACAAGACTCAATTTATGTAGAATTGTGGGTTCTCTCTATGCATACGTATGTACGTAATTACTCCAAGATTTCGCTGAGTCTGTCAATACAGCGAATCGGGTTTGTAGTAGTGATAATACGACTTAATTGCTTGTATGTGTGCTCCCAGCGACACCGATCGTCGTACAAAATAAGGTTGACAGCCATTATATTGTGTATTATAGTATTCTATGATATATTTATACTATTAGCGATCCGCCCCGGTTCCAGGTCCAATTGTGAATCTAAACCATTCTGGAATCAACGTAATCACATTCATAAAATTTTATCAAAATCGGTATATCTGTTTAAGAGGAATTCAGTCACATAAACACAGACAGAAGAACTATGTATGTATATGTATAAATATGACGCAGTTCTTTTAACATTATTATATTGAAAATGCAACAACAAGACAAAGATACAATTAACTGTGTAATCAAATCAAAATTTCAGCTTACATGAGCAAACTGGCAGCGCATTTGAGAATGAAGACTGCAATTAGAACAGACGAGCGTGTGCGCATTATGGATGAAATAATTAATGGGATGCAGGTACGATTCAATAACGCACTAATGAGGAATTTGCTTAACAAACCAATTCACCCTCTCCGATCTATAAGACCTTAATACTTTTTAATCTCAAACAATTTTATAAAAGTAACATCCGCTTCTGCCCGTACATTCTTTTAAAAATTATTTTCGGAATTAACAACGCCAACGATTTTTGTCATGTATTTGTTACAAAACTACATAAAACTCCAAGAAAATTTATGTTTTTATTTATTTTCTACTTTAGAAAATGGCTGAGATAATAAAGACCAAAGTGCGCTTCTAAAAAGAATGGAAGGAATTGTAACTGACGACACACATGGTCAGTTCAAACTAGGACTGTTGATATTTTTTTGAATATCAGATTTCCGATAAATCAATAAATAAACTTATATAATATAAAACTCCGATATTGATATATTCATAATTATGAATGTATCGAAAATCCGATATTTTAAAAAATATCAACTGTCCTCGTTTCAACTGATCAATTGGAATGATCAGTTAAACTGTGAACCTGTGTGACATGTCAGCTTAGTCCTCTAGGGTGATAAAGCATTGATGGCCTTTTTTATTGGAAGATGCTTTAATCGATTGAATATTGTAATATTTTTTGTTTAATGCTGATTTTATATAATACAGTTTTTGAGCTAGTAGGCGCTTAATGTCAGGAGGACTGCTAGACTATACAGAGTGTTCGTGTTGATTTTTATATTCTTGATATAAAGCTCGTTTAGTTATTTCATCATCATCATCAGCCTGCGGCAGTCCACTGCTAGATATAGACCTCTCCCAAGGCGCGCCATTTAGCTAAATTGTCATCTAGACGTATTCAGTTTCTACCAGCCACCTTGCGCAGATCGTCGCTCAATCTGGTCAGAGAGCGTTACGATTCCGTTTACGCGCGACTACGTTTGCCTAGACGCGTATAGTTTTAATTATTTGTATATAGTTTATTATTAAATCCTACCCTTGCCACAGCATTGAACATGTTGCTTTTTCGATGATTACAACTGTAAAATTACGTCGACAAAATGATAAGAGAGCAACACGACTTAAGTAGGCAGCTTTATTGCTTTATTTATTTCAATTGATTATCCTATCTGCTAATTACTGCTAAGTCAAGGACATCGCTTTGAACAATTGATATTTGAGACAGAGGAAATGTCACACCCGGTTTACAAGCAAGTTATTTATTCTCATTTCAGGTCATTAAAATGTATGCATGGGAGAAACCATTCGAAAAAGTAGTGGCCTTAGCTCGAAAAAACGAGATCAAGTGCATTACATCTGCATCGTATCTTCGTGGAGTCTACCTCAGCTTTATGGTGTTCACGGAACGTCTAACGCTTTACACTACATTACTGTCTTACTCTTTACTCGGCTATCAAGTTACTGCTGATATTGTAAGTGTTATATATTAAATACGTGTAGGTATTATCTAAATAATTACGTCTCCTCTTGTATACTAAAGGTATTGTGATTTACAGGTATTTCCACTGGCGCAATTTTACAATACACTTCAAGGAACTCTCTCATTTATTATGTCAAATGCCGTGTCATTTTTGGCGGAAGCGCTAATATCAGTGCAACGCCTCGAAGCTTTATTGTTATTTGGTATGTGAGGCCACCGGTCTCGGCTTCATAGTACAAAAATTATACATGAATGCTACCCGCTAATGTCTTCTTCTTAATCTTAACGAGTCCAATTTATAACGCCGACTCGAACTAACGCTGTAAAAAAATAATATAAGAAAATTATTTTACTAATAACTGTAGAATGTAATTTTAGCTAAACTATAATAATCCTTTTTCAAAACTTACTATTTAAGAATTTACTTCAAAGATAACTACGGCTTTAGCTTTCGAGGATTTTGGCATTGTTCTTCAGGGACCAGAATATCGACATAATTTAAAAAATACTGTATGAAAACAAGACTAACTTCTACGGATAGATAACTAAATATTATCCAAATCGGTTGATTTTCACAGGCGTTCCCGATGGCACAAATGTTCAACCTTCTTCAAGCAACTTTAGCCATCCACTTGCCGACCACACTTTCACAGTCAATGGAAGCTTATACATCTATTATTCGTATACAGACTCTTTTACTATTGGGTACGATTGCATAAGTCAAATAAGTTGCCGTGTGAATCGTCTTAAAGTGTCGTCGATAATGTTTGTTGTTTAAAAATGTCTCTCTGTCTGCATGTATTAACAATGCTATGATACTGACCTAATTATCAAACACTAACATCTTCTTCGTGGGATTCTCGGGAATAGAAACAATGTACGGAATTAAAGAATATTTTATCTATCTACTAACGAATTAGGTGATATAAACTATACGCTTTCTTATTTACTATTGTTTTATGTTTTGTTTATTAATGACAATGTATGGGGTAATTCAAATACTAAGAACTATAAATTAACAAAAACATTTTTCTAAAAATAAACAAGTGAAACCGTCACTACACATAATAAGATTTGAAATTTAAAATATTATACTCATTCAAATGTAACTGTTATAGTAAATTTTACAAATCCAGTTTAAAGTAATAATTATATTTCATTATTTAATTTGTTAATATTTAAATAAAATAAAATAGCTAAGCTCTTGTATATTTACAATTGTATGTATTGTATGTAATGTATTGAGGGATGAAATGCAACCAAAATTAATAAGTTACACTAATCCAACATAATTTTACACTCTGCAGATGAACGTGAAGATCTTCGAAGCGTTCCAGACGTAGATATTATTAAACTGTTACAACGAGTCGAGAACAAGAAAAATAAAAATTTGAGTGAAATAGATCTTTGCCCCGATAGATTTAATAAGATCGATGAAGAAGGCATTTATAATCCAGGTCAGATTACACACTTATTCACTCTAACTAGCTTCCTTCTCGGTTCCATACTTATGCTACATATAAACAATCAATGTAACGATATATAAATACATATATATACATATATGTGTGTGTGTGTGTGTGCGCATAACATTATAACATTATAATATATAAGATTAGAAAAGAGTATTTATTCTATGTACCACGCCATTAAATATTCCTTGCGGCGCGTCGTTCTGTATAGTGATCGCGTACATTGTATAAAACGTCCATCTATATTGAGTTTAGCCGATAGCAAATACGAATTAATGCCGTCCAAGTATAAAATAATGCAGCCGATTAAGTAAATACAACCCAAGAATATTTTTGTACTTATTTATTTTTAAGTGGTATTAATGTTGAGAGTATACAACATCACTCTCACTCCTATTACATATCGGAATCACGTATAAAAAAATTAAACATGCTTCGCTCGACGTGGAAAGCGATAGGATCTTTCGTTTTCACACTAGGCATTTAAGTCCTCAGTACAGCGACCTGTTTATTTTTCAAGTCTTGTAATAATGACATTAATCTTTTCTTAGTTAATGATTATGATCATTAACTATCATTATATTAATAAAGTGTTATTTTTTAAGGCTTTTTATTTCGCTGGACTGAAAGTTGCGTATAGAAATTTATTGTTACGAGCTAAGGGTTCGTGACAATAAAAACTGCCGATTGAATTACCAAAATAACACTTTAATTCACTTTACGCTAATTAAAACTTAAAAGACACATAATTAATCACAATGATTCACTTTATTTCGCTCTGAAGCTTCGCTTGTCTCGCCAAATTCAATACTGCCTCGATCGCATCTTGCAGCGCCTTTAAATACACATTTTCACCAAAACATCCAGAATATTCAAGTAAATACGGGCGCCAACCGACCAGGCGCAGAAAGTTCGAGTGGGGCTACTGGAAAGCTTAATTCTTCTGTTCGATACTAGATGGCGCTGTTGGTCGAAAGACAAGATTGACATTTTATGGCGCTAGTGCCAGGCACCTGACGTCAACTTAGGCGCGCAACATTATTCATGGCGCCGGTTGATTATATTTATATCAACTATTCACTGATCCTAGCCTTATGTGCTATATATATATATATATATATATATATATATATATATATATATATTTTTTTTTTACGTGTCACGTTTGTTTGTCCACGATGGACGCTTAAAGTACTTAACCGATATTAATCAAATTTGCACACCGTGTGCAGTTTGGTCCAACTTGAGAGATAGGATAGTTTTTTTTTGCCCACGAGTGACCCACAATTTTTATTTGCGAATTTAAGGATTTTTAATAGGACATGAAGGAAGACAAATTAGACTCTACCGAACGACCACACCTGAAACCTTGTTGGAAATCGAATATAATGTTTTTAGTATGGCTGTAGACTATGAGGTAAACAGGGCATTCAAATAATTTAGAAAAACACGATAAAATGGAGATAGGTCGGTAGTTGGTAACATCAATCTTGTCACCTTTCTTATAAATAGGGATAATTTGGCTTTTTTCCATTCATCGGGAAACTTTCCTTCGCTTAAAGAGCGATTAAATATTAATGTCAATAAGAAGGCAAGAACGGATCCACATCGTTTTACAAATAGGGGTGGTATGTTGTCAGGGCCAGATCCTTTTTTTTTCATTGAGGTGTTGTATTTTTTTGTACACTTGAGACTCACTCAATTCAAGTGTAACGATGGAATTACTCATGTTCGCAATATCATGACTATGAGAAACATCGGTAACCCTATTATTGGAGTACACGGAAGAAAGGTGACTTGCAAAAAGGTTCGCTATATCGGTGCCTGAGGATGCAGTTGAATCTTTCAATATCATTTTAGCGGGAAGTACAGAAAAACCTTTGCGCTTATCTTTAATGAAACGCCAAAATTTGTCCAGATCTTTACAGATGCTAGACTCAATTTTTATCATGTAATTATTTTAGCAGATATTAACAAGTTTATGGCATCGTTCGCGAAGAAGGTTGTACTCATACTTATCTCTGGGATTGCCGTACTTGGCATATCGTTTTCTAAGTTTTTCCTTATCTTATATAAGTTTAATTAGATTTTTCGTAAACCATGGTGGGTTCCGAGTTGGTTTAGATGTGTATTTGGGTACGTGATTGATACTTTCAGTCCTCAGTTTTTTTATAAAATTCAGTGACAAAATCATTGACGTCCTTACAGTCCTTAAAAATGGTAAGCCAATCAGTACAACTCAATTCCAGGATTAACGAAACAAAGTCTGCCTTGTGGTAGTTATGTTTTACACGTGGCTTAGGTAGCAGACTTTTATCGTATTCAAAATTAAGTTCTGATATTTCAATGAGTATAGGGGGATGGTACAGATCAAGTTTACTTAACAAATCTAAGGATTGAGAGACATTTAGGCATTTCAAACTACTTAAGGCCAAATCCAGGGTTCTACCATGTGAATTCCTTATATGGTTGAATTGGTACAGATTATTCATAGACAAGCAGTCCACCAGACAGCGTCCTAAATCATTATTATAATTAGTAGGAATTGTGTGATTACAGTCATCGTTAAACTCCCAGTCGATAAAATTTAGTTTAAAGTCAACCATCACAATTACATTATCACTATGGTTCAGCACACTGTCTAGATTATCTAAGAAAACCCTTTGTTGCTCCAATCTGGATGGCGACGGTAAGTATACTGCACAGATAGAAAGAGTGGAATATGAGCCATTTATTCTGTATCCAATGTTAACCCAAAGGTCTTCGCAATCAGTTTCCCAGTTAGACATTCGCATAGAAGGTATTTCACGGGATACTGCTATTAATAATCCGCCACAATCCGTCTTGGAGCTTGAAGTGCTTGAGCGATCCCTACGGTATACAACATATCAAGAGTCAATGAATTCACTGTCTGAGATACTTGCATTTAGCCATGTTTCGGTAAAGATAATTATCTTAAAACTATTTACTAATATGTGTACACTTCATTAGTCTTCGTTCGAATTCCACGGATATTTTGATAATATATATTGAAATTTATAACTAAACTTTATAACACTCGCTAATCTTTAACCTAACTATTTAATTGACGCTACACTGTCCATATTACGAATTAACAATGCCTCGCTGAATGCATCCTTCCGTACAAAGATTCGGCCATTTCGTACCCAAGTGAACTTATATTTGCATTCCTTGGCTTTAATTCGTGCGGCAGCATGTAAAGACTTGTTTGTTGGAGACAGATGTTCAGAGACGAAGACTAGCTTACTAATACCAGCAAGGCCGAGGTGTTGAGAGCTTAGTTGTCTGGGTGCACGCAGCTTCACTATAACTGCACGTAGCCGATTGCTGTCTTTGCTCAGCTTAGAAACCCGTGTTATATGAATAATCTCCTCAGCAGATACTGGAACATCTACAGTTTTAATGAGTTGTTCAACAACATTGTTTAAGTTCTCGTGTCTGTGTTCCGGAATGCCATTTATTGCGATATTGCTGTCTCTCATATTTTGTTCAACTTGGTGGAGCCGATGCGTCAATTTGTCTACTGCTAGATTCAGTTTATTATTGTCTCTTCTTAAGTTATCGACTAATGTATTCCTTTCGTCCAAAGCCAATTTTAAATCTTAATACTGCCTGTTGAAAAACGTTAGAGATTCCCTCAGTTCCTTGATTTCCCCCGACATATTCTTTATCTCTGCAGTCACAAGCTGCCTTATTATCAAACGAAGTGCTCCTGCGAGTTCCTGCTGAAGTATGCTTCTCAGCTACTTTCAGTAATGTAATCGCCACCATTCCCAGGTTCCTCTGATGAGCAGTCAACGAGAGAAATTGACTTTGCCAGATCTCCTTTGCCAGATTTCCTTTTCGAAGACCTTTTGTCATGTCCTATTAAAAATCCTTAAATTCGAAAAAAAAATTGTGGGTCACTCATGGGCAAAAAAATATCCTATCTCTCAAGTTGGACCAAACTGCACACGGTGTGCAAATTTCATTAAAATCGGTTAAGTAGTTTAGGAGTCCATCGCGGACAAACAACGTGACACGTAATTTATATATATATTAAGATATATATTTAAAAATGTTTCCCCCTAACCCTCAGCCGTATAGTCTCCCCTTCCGAGGGCCTCCATCTGGTTGGGCTTTTATATATTTACGTATTATTTATTTATATAAGTTAGTATATGAAATATATATTTATGTATATTAATCATTTCCTTTTATATATTTATTCAGCCCAGCCAGATGAGAATACTCTATTTTAATACAACATAGTAATAAATTTAAATAAAATGCCGTATAAACACATCAAAAAATTTAAAATTAGTGATGCCGCTATTCAAGAATGAGACAGGTTACCGCAAGAAATACAGGAACTTGATCCTCCGCATGCCCAGGAAGATCTCACATGTGCTCGAGACAGGAGAGGAGTTATTTTGTATTAAATAAAAACCGTCTATTAATTAATTTTTGTATAAGTTTTGTTAAAGAATCTTTTTCTTTCCATCCAATTTCTGTTGCATTACATTAGAATCGGATTACTCAAATTTTTATTATCAAAAAATTATAAAAAGAGTCTTTTTATTTCAAACAGTATATTTCTATTTAAAAAAAAGATATAACGTAGACACCTTTTCTTGATAAAGGAATAAGAATGGATTACGCGCGGCCGCCCGAGCGGTCAGTCAGGTTGTAGGTCACGCTCGTTATTTTACTTCCCAAATAAGTCTTGTCACGTTATTTTGGTGTATTTTTAGGGTAAATCCCCCCCCCCCCTCATATTGAAAGTTTTGGTGTGTGCAGTGATTTGAATAAACATAAACATTTAATAGAGATAATCAAGTGATTTTCACTAAAAATATACGTTATCAAGTGTAATAATTCAATTGTGTATCATCGGGTGGTATTAGTTCGCGACGTGTTCTTGAAGATAGAAAGTTAGACTTGGATTGCTTATCGTTGTTGACATTACACAACTGTAGGCGAGAATACATATCGCTTGTTTCACGCCACTGCGTAGCGAGACGATTGGTGCAGTGGCCAATACTTCACTGTGCATAGCGTTTCTACCTAAGTCACCGAGTTCAAGCCCAGCAAGTTCACGATTTTTTTTTTCGTTTTTTACTACCTTTTCTTACTACGAATTGCTTTTTTTGCTTTTTGACTGTTTAACGATTGAAAGATGGCATCAACTACGAGTAACTTTGGTATATGCTCTGGCTGTCGCAACATCATACAGAACCGTGAGTTCTTGGAATGCGCTTTATGCAAAATGAAATATGATTTAAACTTTGCCAATATATCTCAAAGCCGCTTTAATAGCTTTTATGCACCTGACTCATCTCGCAAGCATAGTTGGAAGTGTCCCGAATGTTGCAGTAAGCAACCTAAAGTGGATAATAATAACAGCCCCATCCAACCTGCTGCTCGTCACGACCATGTGGAAACCGGAGACCTTGGCAACACCTGTGGTACTGAAAACTTGGGACCACACTCCGGAAATGTCACCCTGAGGAAGCACGATCTGGCAAAGTCAATTTCTCTCGTTGACTGCTCATCGGAGGAACCTGGGAATGGTGGCGATTACATTACTGAAAGTAAGCTGAGAAGCATACTTCAACAGGAACTCGCAGGAGCACTTCGTTTAATAATAAGGCAGCTTGTGACCGCAGAGATAAAGAATATGTCGGGGGAAATCAAGGAACTGAGGGAATCTCTAACGTTTTTCAACAGGCAGTATTAAGATTTAAAATTGGCTTTGGACGAAAGGAATACATTAATCGATAACTTAAGAAGAGACAATAATAAACTGAATCTAGCAGTAGACAAATTGACGCATCGGCTCCACCAAGTTGAACAAAATATGAGAGACAGCAATATCGAAATAAATGGCATTCCGGAACACAGACGCGAGAACTTAAACAATGTTGTTGAACAACTCATTAAAACTGTAGATGTTCCATTATCTGCTGAGGAGATTATTCATATAACACGGGTTTCTAAGCTGAGCAAAGACAGCAATCGGCTACGTGCAGTTATAGTGAAGCTGCGTGCACCCAGACAACTCTGCGTTTAACAAAAAGAATAACAAGGATAAACTAAGCTCTCAACACCTCGGCCTTGCTGGTATTAGTAAGCTAGTCTTCGTCTCTGAACATCTGTCTCCAACAAACAAGTCTTTACATGCTGCCGCACGAATTAAAGCCAAGGAATGCAAATATAAGTTCACTTGGGTACGAAATGGCCGAATCTTTGTACGGAAGGATGAATTCAGCGACGCATTGTTAATTCGTAATATGGACAGTGTAGCGTCAATTAAATAGTTAGGTTAAAGATTAGCGAGTGTTATAAAGTTTAGTTATAAATTTCAATATATATTATCAAAATATCCGTGGAATTCGAACGAAGACTAATGAAGTGTACATATATTAGTAAATAGTTTTAAGATAATTATCTTTACCGAAACATGGCTAAATGCAAGTATCTCAGACAATGAATTCATTGGCTCTTGATATGTTGTATACCGTGGGGATCGCTCAAGCACTTCAAGCTCCAAGACGGATTGTGGCGGATTATTAATAGCAGTATCCCGTGAAATACCTTCTATGCGAATGTCTAACTGGGAAACTGATTGCGAAGACCTTTGGGTTAACATTGGATACAGAATAAATGGCTCATATTCCACTCTTTCTATCTGTGCAGTATACTTACCGTCGCCATCCAGATTGGAGCAACAAAGGGTTTTCTTAGATAATCTAGACAGTGTGCTGAACCATAATGATAATGTAATTGGGATGGGTGACTTTAAACTAAATTTTATCGACTGGGAGTTTAACGATGACTGTAATCACACAATTCCTACTAATTATAATAATGATTTAGGACGCTGTCTGGTGGACTGCTTGTCTATGAATAATCTGTACCAATTCAACCATATAAGGAATTCTCATGGTAGAACCCTGGATTTGGCCTTAAGTAGTTTGAAATGCCTAAATGTCTCTCAACCCTTAGATTTGTTAAGTAAACTTGATCTGTACCATCCCCCTATACTCATTGAAATATCAGAACTTAATTTTGAATACGATAAAAATCTGCTACCTAAGCCATGTGTAAAACATAACTACCACAAGGCAGACTTTGTTTCGTTAATCCTGCAATTGAGTTGTACTGATTGGCTTACCATTTTAAAGGACTGTAAGGACGTCAATGATTTTGTCACTGAATTTTATAAAAAACTGAGGACTGAAATTATCAATCACGTACCCAAATACACATCTAAACCAACTCGGAACCCACCATGGTTTACGAAAAATCTAATTAAACTTATAAAAGATAAGGAAAAACTTAGAAAACGATATGCCAAGTACGGCAATCCTAGAGATAAGTATGAGTACAACCTTCTTCGCAAACGATGCCATAAACTTGTTAATATCTGCTAAAATAATTACATGATAAAAATTGAGTCTAGCATCTGTAAAGATCCGGGCAAATTTTGGCGTTTCATTAAAGATAAGCGCAAAGGTTTTTCTGTACTTCCCGCTAAAATGATATTGAAAGATTCAACTGCATCCTCAGGCACCGATATAGCGAACCTTTTTGCAAGTCACCTTTCTTCCGTGTACTCCAATAATAGGGTTACCGATGTTTCTCATAGTCACGATATTGCGAACATGAGTAATTCCATCGTTACACTTGAATTGAGTGAGTCTCAAGTGTACAAAAAAATACAACACCTCAATGAAAAAAAAGGATCTGGCCCTGAGAACATACCACCCCTATTTGTGAAACGATGTGGATCCGTTCCTGCCTTCTCATTGACATATATTTAATCGCTCTTTAAGCGAAGGAAAGTTTCCCGATGAATGGAAAAAAGCCAGAATTATCCCTATTTATAAGAAAAGTGAAAAGATTGATGTTACCAACTACCGACCTATCTCCATTTTATCGTGTTTTTCTAAATTATTTGAATGCCTTGTTTAGCTCATAGTCTACAGCCATACTGAAAACATTATATTCGATTTCCAACATGGTTTCAGGTGTGGTCGTTCGATAGAGTCTAATTTGTCTTCCTTCATGTCCGCAGTAGCATAGGACGTGGACAGGGGACTGCAGGTAGACGCAATATGCACAGACTTTTCAAGTGCCTTCGACAAAGTCGGCCACCAAGACCTGCTGTCTTAACTAAGAGTAATGGGCATAAGTGGTTCACTGGTTCGAATCTTACCTGGCAATGAGACCTCAACAAGTGGCTATGCTATACACTAGTACGTGGCCACCTCGAATTTGCAAGTGTTGCATGGAACCCAGTTTATAGTGCGTCTTCTAAGCGAATCGAAACGATTCAAAGAGCTTTTACACGCTACCTTGTCTTTACAACTCCATATTTTACATTGCATATCGCATAGATACCCCTATAGTCAGAGGCTAGCGTTTTTCAAAATGACAACCTTACGTGACCGACGTCTCATTGCAGACTTAATGTTTCTACACAAGTTACTGCATAACAAAATCAAAAGTACGCACCTCCTCGATCGCATCAAATTAGTTATCCCGTACAGATATCTTCGATATCCAATTCGCAAACTATTTAGCATTCCTTTGACACAAAACAAATTTAGGCGCGTATTATCCCCTAGCCAGAATATGTAACACATACAATGAAATTATGACCAAGATACCGGACATCGACATTTTCAACGACTCTGCCCGGTGCTTCAAAAAAAATTGACCAATCTTTTTGCACCCTCTCAGCACACACTCATTCCTTAGTTAGTTTTTTTCTTAATATAAGTTATTTTGTATTCAGTACCATTATAATATAATAAGCTACACATTACGGTAAATGTTGTGTATACCTGTAATTGGCAAACATATTTAACCATATACATTTGTTATTGTGATGTTGTTAATGTTTCATGTGTTTTGCTGTTGGTGTACCTTATAAATAAATAAAGTTAAATTTTAAAAATATATCAGCTTTTGATACTGATTGCAAACTTTTTTTGATGTGTCTACGCTTCTTATACGATAAAATAGAAATTACGGTTCAATACAGTGTCGGTCACGCGTTGTCAGAATCACATGCATATGTACGAGCGAAACCTCAACACAAGGTTTTGCCTAAAAGTTTTCTCATTTATATTAAAGTAAACAACGCAATACGTCGTAGAAGAAAGTACTCTTAATAATAAAATGTTGCATGCAAAATCTAACAATTACATTAGCTTCCTAGGTAACGTAGGTCTTACATATGAAAATTTGTTAGGAAATACCTGCTTTATAAAATACAATGTAGATACTAAATTAAGTCAACACACGTGACTACATTTCACTTTTAATGGCAGGTTTCGAATGCACCGAGAAAGGATTAATGAGTCAAGCGCTAGCCACATTACCTGCGAGCCCAGACGTGGGTATTCTTCTACAAAATGTTAGTGCCAGTTGGACCGAGGGAGGACCAGTGACTTTACGTAATATAAACCTAACCATACCTAAAGGAAAGCTTTGCGCCATTATAGGATCTGTTGGCTCTGGAAAGGTACGCGTAAATTCAGAATGGTACAAAGCTGTCTACATAATATATGATACTAATTATTATTTTTTTTTAATTTGTAGAGCTCCATACTTCACCTCCTTCTAAATGAGCTACGTTGTACAAGGGGCCGTATTTATTTATCAGGACCTTTATCATATGCATGCCAAGAACCGTGGCTATTTGTGGCCACGGTACGCCAAAACATTCTGTTTGGCTTGCCATATAATCCTAAAAAATATAAAGAGGTAAGATTTACAACGCTAATACACATTAGTTTAATGAATTATTCCATTAATTTTAAAGATAATAAACACATAATATATAATTTACACCTAAAATAATGTGATGGTACAAAGTTAATAATGCAGTTTGTAAATTTCAGGTTGTTAAAGTTTGTGCTTTACAAAAAGATTTCCAGCAATTTCCACATGGTGACCAGACATTGGTTGGTGAAAGAGGCACTTCCCTTTCGGGTGGGCAAAGAGCACGAATTAATCTTGCTAGAGCGGTCTACAGACAGGTGGGTTATTTGAAATTTCATTATTTTGATTTATTTCGACAGCTATAATATTTGTTGCGGTTGATCATGGGCGGCGGTAGTCACTTAACATCAGGTGAGCCGCATGCTCGTTTGCCCCTCTTCTATAAAAAAAAAAGCTGAAAATTCTCATATCATATGAAATTTTATTTATTTTTATTAAATATTTTTGCAGGCCGATATATATCTGTTGGATGATCCACTGTCTGCAGTGGACGCACACGTGGGCAAGCAGCTATTCAACGAGTGCATTAGCGGTTACCTTCGACACACAACACGAATACTCGTAACCCACCAACTGCACTACCTCAGAGCTGCCGACTACATTGTCATCGTCAATAACGTATATATAACATTTTATTATATATAACATTATATATAACATTTTAATAATAACATTATTTTACGATAGTAAAATGAGCCAGCTAACGCGTGCATAATCCCAATTTTATTTAAACGATTCCAAATATACTGGTGGACTTTAAAATTAGGCCACTCATATTTTTATGATTTATTCATTAATTACTCTCTATTTAAAAATTAAAATAAATAATACGTTTTTGAACATTCATCGCAATCTTAGTAGAAGGTATATTAATAAAATTTATCAAGTGTGAGTGTGCCAAATGTCATTAAACAGATTTTTTAGGTACCCACACTTTTATTCTTTAATCTTCGTCCTGTCGCTTAGACGCTATTTAAAATTATCACTGAATTCGTATTACTGATTTAAGTTCTGTGCCTACCACTTCATTTTCGACTTCGTTGTTCGAATCGTAACGTACAAAGTGGAATGAGCCGGCGAAATGTGGCTCGACAATATGAAGTAGTAAGTCGATCAACGGTTCAATATGTTTACAAAAGGTATCTGGTGGCTACATTATAAGACCTGGATCAGGTCGAAAAAGAAAGACATCTGCACGGGTTGATCGTTTTGTAGTGTCAGCAACCCTCAGAAATCATTCTAGAGTAGAATTGCAGCACCTGCTCAGAGATGTCTGAGGTGTCGCTATAAGTGATAAGACAATAAGAAAACACCACATATAACGTGCTTTAAAATCATACAGCCCCGCAACAGATCCTAAGCTTACCACCGTGACTGGACTGTGGCACAATGAGGGCAATTACTCTTTTCTGACGAGTCTCGTATGTGTCTATATAGTGCTGATGATCGTAAAAGAGTATATTGTAGACCGGGAGAAAGATATGCAAAATTTCTCTCATACCTGAAAGGTTTGGAGGTGGTTCAGTTTTGTTCTGGGAAGTTATAAGCTTAGAAGCCCGTACAGAGCTGATTATCGTAGATAGATGAACTGTGACTGCTGATTCGTAAATCACTGCTATTCTTGAAGAGCATTTAATGCCGTACTCAGGCTTTATTGGTCAAGAATTTAAATTAATGCACGATAATGCGCGCACCCACTCAATGTGCGTTAGGGATTACTTGCGAGAAGTGGGGATACAGATTCTGGACTAACCAGCCAGAATCCCAGACCTTAATCGCATATAACATTTATGAGACGAGCTAAAACGGTAAGACAGCGAGATCCAGCTCCGGAGAACATGCAAAAGCTGTAAGTGGCTTAAGTAAAGAAATGGGAAAACATACCCAAATCTACCATTAAAAAGTTAATACAATCCATGAACAAAAGGACTTTGATAACACATACTATATGTGTTATCAAAGTCCTGGGAAAGAAAGATTGACATCAGCGAAACCAATTTTATTTGATTTTTATCAGTGTGAAGTCGTAAATATCTCTTCATTTTTGATTTTTCTTGTGTATTGCTAAAATGATAAAATCGCTTAATTTAAAAATGCATTATTTAATTTAAGGGTTAACACACAATCAATAAAAAGATATTAAAAACGTTTTTATTCTGTGACACAGTCACAACAACCGGTTTGGTAGGTGGCCTTAATTTATTGTCCGCTACTATATTACTATTTTATTTCTTAATTTCAATTAGTTTTATACTAGCATACGGCTTTACGTGGAACAAATAAGCTTAACTTTGAAATGAGTTTACTTATATAAAACGAATAAAAAAATCTTATTATTACCTATTTAAATAATAATTGAAAAATACATATTACTCCTTTATAATACGTTTGCATTTTTATTTCCATTAAAGGGTTCTGTAGAAGCTCAAGGGAAGTACGACGAGCTGATTACTTCAGGAAAGGATTTCGCTAAGCTATTGTTTTCAACTCATGATGAAAACGATACTAGTGTTAATGACAAACCTACTACTTTGGTTCGTCGCACGTCTGCCAGAGTAAGTTGCTTGTCATAATAAAAAATCTTTCACTGGATTCAATGGATTTGAGGTTTAAAAACAAGCTTTTTTTGAAATCGATAAACATATTTTGATAATACCATATGTCTGTACATTTACGATAATACCAATGACATTAGAATTAATAAAACAAATGTGCATCTTCTGTTACACAAATTCTTATCAATTTGGAAAAAATATTCGTGCCATTATATAACATAATTAATCATTAAATATATTAATAATAATGTTTGACATATCTTTATTTTTCATAAGAATTTACAACCATTCATTAATCAACAACAAAGTTTGCATGTAATGAAAAAGGTGAATTACATACAAACGAATAATAATCTTACTATACTATACACTAATATATCGAATTAATTTGACTCAAACACATTCATTTGTAAGTATACATAATTAACGTTCCAGCTTTCAACAACCCGTCGCCCATCAATAGCGGAATCAATTGGTTTCGAGAGTCCTGCTCAGGAAATGGAAGAAGAGCGTGAGTCCGGCTCCATGGGATGGCATGTCTACGGGGCTTTCTTAAGCGCCGGTGGAAAGACTCCCAGACTAATATTTATGATCCTACTTCTGATTATTGGGCAGTTGTCCGCAACATTATGCGATTACTGGGTCACATTCTGGTGAGTCATGTCTATTTTGACTTTACAGTGTTTATTGTTTAAACATGTCATTTAATTAATTACTCTTCTCATAAATTAATAGCATTGTCAGTATATTTTACCGTCATGTATTTTTGAATATGAAGCTTTTTACAATTACTAGTTTTAATGTTTCGATGTAACAGGACAAATGAAGTTACCCGGCTTAAAGAAAGGGAATCCAACAGTACTATGAAAGACTATGACCGACTACCAGCGGCGACAAATAGCACTTTCAGTATTTTGGGCTATTTCACTGGAATCGAAACACAAGCAGGTATAATATGTTATTCAGAATAGTACCACATTTTTTAAATTAAAATAATTACATACGAAAAATAATCCAATTATAAGTAAAAGCCGCATTCAAAGACCTAAAAAGAATAAAATTATTTCCCAATCTGAAGTTGAAGCCCCTAATTTAGTATGTGAATTAATTCTTCAAAGTCGACTTTCAACTTTTTACCCTTCTGAGTAAACTGAGGAGTAAGTATCTCAATCTTAATGTCATCTACAATAATTACATCAAAAACTCCATTCCCTATTTTGTCACCCTTAGGCGTGAAATTTTTTCTCCAAACTTATATGAGACGACCCTTAAATTATAAAAGCTGTTTAACAAATAAAACAATGAATCACAATCGATACTTAACGAAAATATTGCGCAACATATATACAAAAAATTAAAAATTAAATAAACACAGTCAAATTGTAAACCTCCTACTTTTTTGAACTCGGCCAAAAATTTTAAGAAATTGGATAGTTAATTCGCGACCAATTTTAAAACGTATCTAATTTTTAAGTTTCTAAGCTAGCTTGGAGTGTTCACGGGAACATTACGAACCCGATTGACTTGAAATTTGGTACGGATTTTACGATAGTCCCATAAAAAAAAATAGTAGGTTCCGCAATAAAATATTATCGTGCGTGCGTAAGTGAGTGGATATCAGCTAGTCTATATATAAGACCTATGATATAAAAACTTATGTTTTTATTAAAATTTCTTCATTCCAGATTTGAATATTCACGCATACATTGGACCACTAAACACGTCTCAGTACCTATATGTGTACTCAGCCTTAATCCTTTGCTGTATTTTCTTTATTACGGCGCGTGCTTTCGTGTTCTTCAAGGTTTGCATGTCAGCATCTCGCAATCTTCACAACGATATTTTCCACTCCATGCTCCGTGGTGTCATGCGTTTCTTTGATACCAACTCTTCAGGTACTTACACATTTTTTTTACTTGTGATATCATAATTCTTTTTTATTACACGAGTAGGGAGCCGTCGTAGCTCAGATGGTTAGCGCTCGCTGTAAATTTCACAGTACGCGAGCAACCCGGATTCGATCCCCACCGGCACCAATGAAATTGTTAGTTGTAATTTTAAGTGCTGATTTACCACGTGCTTGATGGTAAAGGAAAACATCGTGAGAAAGCCTTCATGACTGAGAAATAAAATAAAAAAAAAATTCGAAGACTATTTTGAAGTTCGTCAACACGCATTAAAGCAGCGCTGCGGATACTTCCTAGCCCTTAAAGCCTTAGACCCTCTCGGAAATGAGATGATGCCTGTGCCCAGCAGTGGGACATATACATAAGCTGTAACTTTAACTTTAATTAACTCATGTAGGTCATAAACTATCATACAGTTCACCTGATTGTAAGTGGATTTTTATAGAATAAGGGTGATAAACGAGCACACAGTCCAACTGATGGTAAGTGGATGCTGAGGTCCATAAACATTTACATTTATCCTCGATTAAGAATCGAAATACACATGCGTTGTCACCCGTTTGGACTAAGATGGAATGCCTCGTTTTCATTAAAAAGGTACTCCAGTTCTCTACACTCACAGCAGCGTTACTTTGATATTTTACGCTACTATTCTGTGAGAGCGTGGATTTTAGCCGGTCGAGCCGACCCATTCTTGTTACAACCGTAATTTAGCTGCAGCGCGATCTACCACATATAATGATGTTGTATTTTTTAGACAGTTACATTCACTATCAATTAATATAAAAAAAGAAAAAAGTGCCTAGTCACCAGTAAAAACAATTTCCGAGTTCTCGTCACACAAGCATTATGCATTTGTTATTTTTCATAGAATATAATAAAATAGTATGTATATAATAATTGACATTCTTTTAAAATATTTTTCTTTCAGGACGGATATTAAATCGTTTTTCAAAGGATATGGGTGCATTAGATGAACTATTGCCGCGTTTCTTACTAGAATGTATTCAAATCTATCTGGTGATGTTTAGTATCTTAGCTCTTAACGCAGCTGCTTTAGTTTGGACGCTTCTACCAACAACTATTATCTTACTTTTGTTCTACACAATCCTACAAATTTATTTAAAATCTGCTCAATCAATTAAACGATTGGAAGGAACAAGTAAGGAAACCCTTATTATATTTATTATGATGGCGATATTTTGTACAAATTTTAAAATAACTTTCTTTTGTTTCTAGCGCGAAGTCCAGTATTTTCTCATCTGTCTGCAACACTAAACGGTATTAGCACTATTCGGTCTGCTGGAGCACAGCAAAGATTAATTCAAGAATTTGATCGCTTCCAGGTTAAAATTCCTTTGAATTTATTATAACTTTCAAAGAACACTTATATAATGTATGTAAATTTATAAAAATATTATATTAATTCTTTCAGGATATTCACACATCAACATGGAGCAGTTACTTAGCTAGTGGGGTCACACTCGGATTTTGGCTTGACTTCATTTGCGTATTGTACCTGACTATTGTTATTGTGGCGTTCCTCGTTATTGATAGTAGTAAGTATATTACTATAATTTATTTATTGCAGTTACAAATATTTGGAATTTACTATGCTTAACTGTTATATAAATATACTATGCGTCCATGTTATTACGCTCAGTCATGTTCTGTTGCTCTGAGTTCATAACCCACACTTTTTATACGAAAAGCTCAAGCTATCGCGTTGTAAGAATATCCTACCTACTTACTACCCTACCCTATATATATATATAGTACGGTCCGGGGGGGGGGGGGGGGGGTTAATATGGTCACTTCATGCAGTAAATATGGTCACTTTCTTATTACACAAAAATTACAACCTTTCGTGCATTGATGGCTGTGTGATACAATAGCTTTTCATCAGTCATTCGAATAATAAAGGGTCAAAAGGACGATGCTTTTTCGACGTCATTCTTGTAAATATTTACGTCGACGACAGTTCTCATTCTTGTAAATATTTTAGTCGATTTTAGTATAGTGTAGTTAGTTTTTTTAAGTTGATTCGAAGTGTTGCCAAAACTAATTTTTCCTAATTATTTCCAAAACTATTTTTTTTTCTTAATATATTAGTTATATACGAATTTGTGTTTATGTCTCTGTCCTTCTCCTAGTATTGGTTTTAAAGGGCAGCAAAGCTTAAGGTGACCATACTACCCTCGCGCACCTCACGTCCCGTGGGTCTTGTGAGAAGCGACAGGAGATGGGAAGCAGCTTCTTCCCTATAACTACTAAAAACTAAAAACACTATGTGCGCAGTTCACACGCGGCAGAAGTGAAACCTTCAAATGAAATGTTATATTTATTTAATTTGATAATTTTCAACGTAATATGTTACAAATTACAATTCTTATTCTTACATGTTTAGAAATTTTCATACGTGTCTAAACTTATAGCTTAAATTTTAGTGTGCTTATTAATTAAATGAAAAGAATATTTACTTTCGACTAAAATAGCTTTGTAATAGCGAGGTCTATTTCTATAGGTAAAATCATTTTATAGAACAAACTTAATTGACTGGCAAGGCGGTCCATACATTGGTAAGATATGAAATCGTGGATTGTTAAAAATTGTTTCGGTATGATAATTTTATTCAATATAATTGATTTTATTTATTTGATAAATTTGTAATTTTTTTTATTTTTTTTTTTATTTTAACAGTAAAAAATTATACTAGCCATCTTTAAATCACTGCACAGAGAGGAGACCGAGATAATGGGAAACACTTTATACCGTATTAGCTGTACCCTGTGCTGTGGTTTTACCCGCGTATATCACGCGACTTTCACTACAGGTTTCTCTCGATTCTCATCGGGTAGCTCGGCGTCGATTGCGCGCCGAGCCGAGTGTTTTATTTAACTTTAATTATTTTAACTTTACATTATCTCCTATGCATCCAAATGACATGCTACATAAGGAGCAAAATTTTACTTAAGATGATGAAGTAACTTTTGTTTGTAAGGATTAATACGCCAAGCCCAATAATAACGCTCATAAATCACTTTTTAATTTTCAATATTTTTTATCACAAAAAATACCTTATTGTGGCTTAGGTATAAGAAATAGGCCTATTGGAGTATTTTTAGATGGAAAAAAGATTTATATTTTTTGTAGAACATTGCATTTACGTATCACTAACCATTACTCCAGTGCACGCGAAGAAATCAGTTCTTGAGCGCTTTTTCTTCCGATTTGCTTAACAAAAATCAATATTTAATACTAGCTGAGAGATTTAAAGCCTAATGCTATAGAAATCCCATATTATATGACTCTGGCTTACATATATAAAATAATTTATCAAATCTGACTGATAGGTAATACCAGAGATTAGTATGTTTAAAGTTTAAGCAAACAAAAAACCTCTTCCGCTTTTTTATTTTTTATAATATTTATTTATTAAGGACAGCCAACCAATCTTACACCAAAAACATTAAATTCTTAAATAATCATCAAAGATTTAATCTAAGTGCAGATTTAATTACAGGCTGTCACGACTTTAAATGTGAGTGTTTAATGTTTATTTAAAAAGTATTAAAAAACTAAACTAAACCAAAATTATTTCGCAAATATACATTCTATATCATTCTCTCACAGGCTAAATCATATATAGGTATCTTTTTAGTATCGATTTTTAGTTTCATCCCGTTTCAAATCACAATGATGCTAAAAAAGATTCACTTCAAAAACTGTGATTGCCAACCAGCCTGCCAATCGTGGCAACTATGGCAAATATCCCACCTAAAATACAAAGTACAAACTGTAATACCTTGTTTTACCCTCTAAGGGGTGGAATTTTTCAAAAGCCGTTCTTAGTAATCTACGTCATACTGCGGCTATTTTCCAAGTTTCAGATTTCTACGTCTAGCTTTTCTTTGGCTGTTCGTCTACAAACAATATTTTTCATACAAATTTTGCAACCTCTTTTTAGAACCCTAAACAGATTTTCTAAAAAATAGAATGTGAATTTAATTACTATATGCACCATTTTAAAATTAAAAACACCATTAATCAATTTTCCCCAAACAAATTTCAATAAAAAATCACCCCTTTCTGAGGGGGACGGGGTTTTTTTCAAAAATCGCTAAATCACTGTCTAAAGGGTTGAACTTTCCATAATTCTTTATCAGTGGTTGCCTACGTCATAAAAGACAGCACTGTCCAAATTTCAGATTTCTACGTGAAGCGGCTCGGGCTGATACTTAATACAATATTTTTCGTACAAGCTTTGTACCCCCTTAAGACCATAAAAGTTCTTAAGAGAGACCCTAAGAGTTAACCATAAAAATAAATTTTTGAAAAAAATGTACAATTCCAAACTAAACTGGATATTTATTCAAGAATATCAGCATAGCATCGGTTTTAAATTTAAAAAAAAATATAGGTATTATTTAATTTTTCTCCATACGAATACGAATAAAAATACGAAAGAAAACGAACACTCTCAGGCCCCTCTCTTGTTTTGAAAAATAGCTTTATATGTTTTCATTTATTATATTTACAGATTATTTTCAATGAGTTTAGAGTCAATCGCCCCGTAGAATAAAAAGTTTCATACAAACTGAACACCCTATTTCCCCATTTAGGGGTTGAATTTTCTAAAATCCTTCTTAGTGCATGCCTACGTCATAAAAAGCAGCTATGGTCCAAATTTCACATTTCTACGTGTAGTATCTAGTCTAGTCGAGTCCATCACTCAATAAAGATAGAAGGAATAAGTTATAGCTAAATGACAGGCTATGTTCACTTATGAAGAACTGTAAAGATGATGATGATGATGATGATATAAACGACATAAATTCTAAGCAGATTATATATAAAATAAAAACCAACCTGCTCAACCCCAGCTATCTTTATATATTTTAATAAAACGTAAACCGTTAACTTTATGTTTTTGCTATCTTCAGAAACCGTTTTCTCTGGAAACGTGGGACTGGCCATTTCACAAACACTCATTCTGACTGGAATGCTTCAATTCGGTGTACGTCAGACCGCCGAGGTCATTTCACAAATGACCAGTGTTGAGCGAATTCTGCAATACACGAACATTGAACGGGAACCACAATGGGAAAAAGGAGGTAATGTACAAACTCGTTATAATAAAATAATTGCGCCTCGTTTTGAAATGAAATGTTATTTCTTCTTTTCTTCTTTCTTATTTATAGATATTGATTTTTAAATACGTAAGTAACCTTCCATTTGATATGTGAATATAAGTGAGAAAAAGTGCTGATTTACCACGTGCTCGGTGATGAAGGAATATATCGCGAGGAATAAAATGCATATCTGAGTAATAAGCTATTTCAATGAAGTTCGTCAACATGCACTGGCGCAGCGCGGCGGATTAATTGCTTCATTACCATCACAAAAATGAGGGAACGCCTATGCCCAGCAGTGAGCAGTGGTCAAGGGCAAGCCGAGGACCATAGCTCAGGTGTCAGATTTTAAGTGACGTCACATTGGTAAAGATAAACCATAAATCTGAAAGATACCTCTTACTGATTAATACTTATGTTTAAATATAACGAAAACAGTAGTATCCAAAGTTCTGAAAATAGAGACAATCTGCGGGCTCAAATTTGGCAAGGGTTGGGATTAGTTTAAGAAACACAACATATTGTTATATTCATTTTTAAATACTTAATATATTATATATATAAAGATCTAAGACTAAAAAAACTTTAACCTATTTCATGATGTAAGGATGCATTTTTAGCTCTAGCGGGACCGAGCGACATCAACCCGTGCCTCCAATGAGCTTGAAACATAATATTATACACGCTGTAATTTAACTTATCAAATGTTAACTAATTATACAACTTTATTTATACATTTAAATCTATTACGTATGTTACGTAAAACTTGTAGATACTAAAATAAAAGTTAATTTAATCGCCGTGCCAAGTATATTAACCACAACAAAATATTATTATACGTATTACTATGAGCTATGTGCACTGCGTACAAATGTAGATCAAATTATTTACCTCAATTTTATCTAGTCCAGTTAAACATTCAAAAGGCACGAATTTGGGGGTATACCGTTATATGAAACTCCTATGTCGTATCGTAATTGCAAGGCACTCCTCTTGCTGCCTCACCCAGCATCATAATCCTTGACAGCATCTCAGCAAATCGAGACAGTATTTCATAGCAGCCCATCGCTTTACAAAGCGCAATTTCGGCCATATGGAATACTGTTTTCATCTTTAAGCTGCAACACCCCAGTATCTGCCCCTTCCACTTGATCGCATTCAACGGAAAACGACAAGAATCGTCGACGATCCAATTTTCTCCTATCGGCTTGATCCACCTACCTTGCGAAGAGTCGTTGCGTCTCTGTGCATCTTCTATCCACTGGGAGTGCTCTGAAAAATTGTTCACATTAATTCTAAGCTACTAAATTTTACTAGCTTTAGCTTTTACGTGGGAGAACCATGCTGCAGTTATATTAGTAGTATAGTTGTAGCGCGAATGGGTCGTCTCGACCAGGGAATGACCACGCTCTCACAAAATAACAGCGTAAAATAGCAGCTTAATGCTGATATTTCATATGGTGAGTGTAGAGAATCGAAGACCCTTTTTACTGGAAACGAGGCATTCCACCTTAGTCCTCACGGGTGACAACGCATCTGGATTTTGATTCGTAATCGAGGATGGATGTAGATGTCTATGGGCCACAGCAACCACTTACCATCAGGTGGACTGTGTGCTCGTTTGTCACCCAATCCTATAAAAAATATTATTATTACCACATACCGCGACAGAACTCGAAACACCGTGTTCATCATTTCGATTGTTGGCGGTCCACTACCGTGGACCCTTGGAAATTTGTCATCCTGTTGATCTCCAAAAAAGAGCCTACTACTTACTAAAAGGTTGGCAACACCCCTGTAATTCCTCTGTTGTTGCAGATGTTCATAGACGACAATGAGCATTTACCATCAGGTTAGCCGTGTGCTCGTTTGCCTCCTGTTTCGTAAAAAATTACATACACTAATATAAAAATGTGTAGTTTAATGCAATTTACACGGATTTTTTCTATGCGAATAGTTTCTACTATATGGAGTAGTATTATTATAACACTTACTAGTAACAATAAGAATATTAACACATATGTGCTAATATATATTCTGTGTTTGTGGGCTTTGCTAATATTAGTAACTATCCTCCATGCAGTTGCTAGGTAATGTAAGACGTAAATGACTATCTATGATTAAATGAGTATTTGTAAAAATATTTCCCTATTTAGCTATTAAATGCTGGTGTACTTTGGCCATTTCAAGACAGTACCAGCGGACATACATTTCTTGATTAAGATGTACCTCTCGCACTAATAATGCTGTTTCCCATCAGTAGTCTTACTTAATTTTAGTCTTACTTACGTAGTTACTTAATTTCCGGCGTATTTTTTGAATGATGTAGTCCATTAATTTTTTTATTTAAAAGAAATTTAAATTATTTTAAGCGCAATTTACTGTTGCAAGTTTATTCAGAAATTAAAACTACATTAGTATTCAACATAGTACAACAGTAAAAGGAAACAAAGCAGGAAAAATGCAATTAAAAGAAAATAAGGTTAAAATCCATGTAGTAAAATTTAACACAGGTTAATAGTGTTCACTTCAAAATTCATATCACGAGAGAAACCCAGGTTCGATCATCGCCAGCGGCAATTTAATTGTTAATTTGCAATTTTAAATTTTGGCTATTTTACCATGTGTTCGATCATAAAATGACACACACCCTCGTGACGAAATTAAAAATAAACAATAGTTCAAGGACAATAAGTCATATATAAAGCTGTTTATAAAGGTTACCTATCGAAAAAGACAGCAAATCTTGCAGTTATATTTTAAATTATAGTAAGTAACGTTGATTATATGTTATCATTTCCTTTTATTGTTTCAGCGATAGAAACTCCAAAGGATTGGCCGTGGCAAGGGCGCATCGAATTTCGTAATTGTTACATGAAATACACACCCGAGGACTTGCCTGTTCTCAAAAACCTTAACGTAGTTATTGAAAGCGGCTGGAAGGTAAATTATAATAGTTTAACACATTTCATTAATTTATTATAGCCTATCAAAATCCATTGCCGAACATAGGTCTCGTCATAATAATAATAATGTCCTCCAGACCAAATTTCGGCCACGGCGGCCTGCCTCAATGGAGGCTAGCCATCGGCGTAGGATAGGATTATAGTGCCAAAGTGTGTGCGCAAGCACAGGTGCACTCTCTATTCCCTCACTCTCGTAATCCGATGGGAAGGTAAACCGACACGACCAGAGAGAGATCAGGCGCAGGACCAACGGCTTTACGTGCTTTCCGAGAAACGGGGGTGAGACACCGCCAACTTCCTGACTCCGGGCAACTACTGAGAATTTCTTGACGGGAAAACTCAATAATTAATTTTTTTGCCCAACCCGGGATTAGAACCCAGGACCTCATAACCTCAGCAGTCGCACTACTACAACCACTAGACCAACGAGGCAGTAGGTGTCGTCATATTGCCTCGTTTTAAGAGGATATTTGTCATAGTGACCACGTAGCTTTTTATTTTCTATTTGTTAGGAAACGATGCTGCCCGTCTCCCGGTGTGTTCCCCTTTCTCGCTTCTTAGGTTTCGATGATGTTAATGCTGCTAGCTTATGCGGTTCTCACAGCTTCATAGAACTCGGTCGCTTCTTAGAACACCCACGGAGCGGTATAAGGTAATGGATATTCTTACACCGCCACTACCCGATCACTAGTTTTTATGAGGTTTTACCTCAAACCAATAAATTCAATGTATTTTCGGTATGGTTATTTTAAAAAAAATACACTATATTGAAATATATATATATATATATATAGTTTGTACGTGAAAAAAGCTTTTCTATTCCCTTGAAAAAATATTCTTCCTCTTGGCCTGAAAAATGCTCATTTACAATGAACTTGGACTCATTATCGTCAGTAAATAAATTTCCACGAAGGTCTTTTTTAAAGTTTGGGAATAAAAAGTAGTCACTAGGGGCTAGATCTGGTGGGAGCCTTGGAGAACGACGCCGTGTGAACCAATACGTTGTCATGAAGAAGCAGCACTCTTTCGGTCAGCTTTCCTCTTCTCTTTTCTTTTATTGCTTCTCTCTAACAGCGTAAATTGCCTGAGTATTTTTCTACGTTGATGGTTTCACCTTTTCTTGTGTACTCATTCAATAGTATTCCTTTGGAATCTCAAAACACTGTAGCCATGATTTTACCGGCCGATGGTGTGATTTTGAACTTCTGGAGAGTCTGATCCTTTTTTATGCCATTACACAGACTCCTGTTTACTCTCAGGGCCATAGTGGTGAACATTTCATCTTCTGTAACCATCCTATCAAAAACACTTGTTGGATTCAAAAATCCGAAATTTCTTCTCATATGAAAAGGCCCCGATGTCCTTCTAAGAGCTGTTTTAGGCTGATGATTAGTATTCATTTATACCTTTTAGAAATGATATTATAAGAGAAACGATGTATCATTATTTTTTTAATTTATATAAATCCTCACAAATAGAATACAAACAAATTAAAAATAGTTTAGTTTATATAATATGTTTTTAAAAGGTGGGCATAGTGGGACGGACAGGCGCTGGCAAATCATCTCTAATATCATCCTTATTCCGGCTTGCAATTGTTGAAGGTGAAGTCCTTATAGACGGCGTTGACACATCTCAACTCTCGTTACAGGTAACATAAATAGTGTATAAAATACTATAATATTTTTTTAAATATTAAAACTCTTATTAATTGTACATTTTCAGGAATTACGGTCAAAAATATCTATAATACCACAAGAACCAGTGCTTTTCTCAGCAACAGTACGATATAATTTGGATCCGTTTAACAATTATGAGGACGAACAATTGTGGAAAGCCCTAGAAGGCGTAAGTTAATTTCAATATATGAATTATGTTCACATTATGTATATATTTCCGATATATGACTGTTATTCACCATTGAAATGTTATAGGTCGATTTGAAAGCAGCCATCCCAGCGCTAGATTTCAAAGTATCTGAAGGTGGATCTAATTTCTCCTTAGGACAACGGCAGTTAATGTGCCTTGCACGTGCCATTTTGCGTGGAAATCGTATTCTCGTGCTTGACGAGGCCACTGCAAACGTAGATCCCAAGTAAGGGTTTAAATTTTACCTATGATTTTTATATATCAATATTGGACAACCTTTTAATAATCATTTCTAATATTCGCAGAACGGATGAATTTATTCAAAAGACTATTAGGAGAAAATTCGCCGACTGCACGGTGTTGACCGTTGCGCATCGTCTAAATACAATAATGGATTCAGACAGGGTTATGGTAATGGATTCCGGACGATTAGTAGAATTTGATCACCCATACCATTTACTTAAAAATCCCGAGGGATACTTTACAAAGATGGTGAAAGAAACGAACGATAAAGTATCTGCACAGCTTTTCGAAATTGCAAAGAAAACTTTCTTGGACAGTGGTGGAATAATAGAATAAATTTATTGTTATTCAATTTATACTAGAAAGTATTAGGTTTAAGTTATTCAATAAATAATGCAGTTATAATAATTATATTATTTAAAAGTATAATATTACGTACAAATATATAAAATGCAAAATGGAAAGATTATAGTAAGTCAGTGAAAAGCGGATAAAACGGGTTGTTTCGATTATTGTGGACTCAGAATATTGAACTATAGTCTGATATGTTAGAATTGATAGTTGGCATGTACCAGAGATGATAGATAAATGCTTGTAATAAACATTTTTTATTCCCTTATTTTATATTAATCTTGCAATTATGTAAGAAATTATTTAAGCGACAAAAATTATACCCATAAATTTTGGAGAAAAATGTTATACAACAATGTTAAAACTCTTTCTAAAACAGGGATAACTCGTTAACTAATCATGATATTCGCAGCGTTTTACATGCAACCGTAAACTCATATATACTATATTTTTGTTCATCGCAGTTCAAGAATCAATATACTTTTACAGAGTGTTACATGAAGTGGCTAGAAATAAGTGCCTAAGAAATCAATTTATAAAATTGAATAATTTGCATTCTATTAATTTTTGAAAATATTTAATATTTACATTTTCTATTAGTAAATAGCGGTAGTATTAGCGTATACGCGTTGTAACTTGTAGGTTAATAATTGTTAAGATGTACATAGAGCTTTGTTTTCTAAAATGACTGGCAGTGAATAAAAAATATATGGATTAGATTTAGTAATATATGAAAGTATGTTATTTAATTTATTACAATTATGTATAGGTACTATTACCATCAATTAGATTTAAAGGTAGTAAATTACCGTTGTGATTGCCATAGGGGTTAACCTCGAAATAATAAAAAATAAGCTTTAATTTTTGTTAGTTTTTTATTTATTTTAAATATTTTTATTTATTTTCATAATGAAATAATATTCAGTATATATTATAACAATAGAAAAAACTCTAAAGTTATCTAGTACTCCCTCGAATAATGCAAAGAACGCTGACTGCGTTTTCTCGAAAAAGAACCAGGCCTCGACATCAGCGTGGTTCACAAATCGCGTATGCAGTTCCCTTTTAAAACTTCACTGTGCGTCAATCTCACGGAAAGAAAGTCTTAATGAGGCATGCTGCAGCTATATCAATAGTATAGTTGTAGGACGAAAGGATGGTCTCGACCAGGGAACGACCACGCTCTCACAGAATACCAGCGTCAAATAGTAGCTTAACGCTGCTATTTCATATGGTGAGTGTAGAGATCCAGAGACCCTTCTTACTTGAATTGAGATATTCCATTTTAGTCCTTACGGGCGACAACGCATCTGCATTTTAATTCTTAATCGAGGATAGATTTAAACTTCTATGAGCTACAGCAACCACTTACCATCGGGTGGACTGCGAGCTCGTTTGTCACATATATATATATATATATATATATATATATATATATATATATATATATAAAGATAGTAAGTTACTGAGAATAAGAGTTCACAAAGTGTCTGTGCGCGTAGCATCACAATCTAGACCTCTACTCCCCGTCCAATACAAAGTCATGCAAGCAGTTCTCCTGCTATCGTATTAATATATTCCATGAGGCTCTAAAACTAAGGGAATTTAATGAGACAAGTACCCTTCGGATATCGTCGTTTCGAAAACCGTAACGGAAAGTCTACTAGAACTTTCCTTACACGAAAGTCTGGAGCCTATTCGTCAACACCGCTACTGCAAGGACACCGATGAGATTGACAGATCGACACTTCGAGTGGAATTCCTAAAGCTTTCTGGGCTAATTAATAGCCCGAATATACTTCAAGGTAAACTATTAAGACGTTCGAGCGACTAAATTTCTTAATCAAAACAATTCATGTTTTTTTCGACTAAGGAAATTAGCGGTTATCTTATTATTTCACTATCTTACACATTCTGCCCAGTGTAATATTCGGTCGCCTAAAAAGGCGACATGATGATTGGTAACAATATCAAATCATAAACCATTTCATCATCATCATCACCTCATTGCCTTTCCCTTTTTAGGGTTCCGTAGTCAACTAGGAACCCTTATAGTTTCGCCATGTCTGTCTGTCCGTCTGTCCGTCCTCGCTTAATCTCTGTGACCGTTAGCACTAGAAAGCTGAAATTTGGTACCAATATGTATATCAATCACGCCGACAAAGTGGTAAAATAAAAATTGGAAAAAAATGTTTTATTAGGGTAGCCCCGCTATATGTAAAGTGGGAAGTGATTTTTTTTTTAATTTTAACCCCAACGTGTGATATACTGTTGGAAAGTTATTTAAAAATGAATAGGGGTTTACTAAAATCATTTTTTGATAATGTCAATAAATTCGGAAATAATCGCTCCAAAAGCAAAAAATAATGTGTCCCCCCCCCTCTAACTTTTGAACCATAAATTTAGAAAATATGAAAAAAATCTGAAAAGTAGAACTTTATAAGGACTTTCTAGGAAAATCATTTTGAACTTGGATGGAAACAACAGTTTTTGTACAAACTCATAAGTGGGAATACTTATTGTGACGGACGGGAAACTACGGAACCTACACTGAGCGTGGCCCGACACGCTCTTGGCCGGTTTTTTAATTATCGCATAGACTAACAGCACTAACATCTAGATACTAGACTGTAATATTTGGAATGGCTAAATCGATTATAATGAAACTTCATAAACAGACAGAGAGCAATGCCATGAGTGACCAATGTTTTATACGAAAATCTTAGTTATTAAAAAAAAATTGGCAAAATAAATCACTAAACATCTTGTCCTACCCACGCAAAGACGAGCGGGTCGCTATCGCTAGTATATCTATCTTCTATCTTCCATTTATCTAGCAATCTATACTATATTAAAACTCTAACACGACGATTTCTGTATTTCGAATTATTTTTTAATCTGAATTGGGCTGTACTATGTGACCGATACAGATGCCGAAACAATTTTTTTTGGAAACGTTGTCTGTCTGTCTGTGTGAACACGCATCACGCAAAAACCTGTGAACCAATTTGTATGAGACTTTAATAATCGTGTTACTTAGAGATTTAACCAAAATAACGAATAATGATAATTTATCACACTATCTATCATAGAAGCTGGGCAGTATGCATAATCTCTCCTTCGCGGTTACAAAAGGCTTTAAATATACATTGTAGTGAGATTAAAAAATCGCATTATACGATTTTCAATTGTTCTAATACCTACTCATTATTTTCTGAATATCGTGGTTTTTATTTTAGTGTAATAATCAACTAATTACTATTTTTAACTAGATGGCACTGTATGTATTTTTAGTAGAGTATTGTTTTATTATACGCGAGTTATGACATAAGGCATATCTGTAAATAGGTGGTATTTTTAAAACAATATTTATAAAATTTTATAGATTAGTAGATCCATAAAGATAATATTAGTATACAAAGGAGCAAGTTGTTTTTGCTAATCATATTTATATTACGCATCATCATCATCATTACAGCCCTTAAGAAGTCCACTGCTGGACATAGGCCTCCCCCAAGGAATACCACCAAGCACGGTCCTGAGAAACCTGCATCCATCGACTTCCTGCATGTCTTACCAGGTCATCACTCCATCTAGTGGGGGGACGCCCTACACTTCGCCTGCTAGTACAAGGCTGCACCTCGAGAACCTTTTTTTCCCATCGGTTATCGGCATTTCGAGCTTTGTGGCTAGCCCATTGCCACTTCAGTTTACTAATCGGTTGGGCTATGTCGGTTACACTGGTTCTACTGCGGATATCCTCATTCCTAAGTTTATCACGCAGAGAAACTCCGAGCATATCCCCCTCCAGAGCTCGCTCTTTCGACTTTGAGCTTCCTCGTACGGCTGGTAGTGAAGGACCACGTCTCAGATCCATAAGTCGTCACTGACAACACGCACTGGTTATACAATCTAGTTTTGAGATTTTGAGATATACCTGACGAGAAGCTTGTCGCATCCCCCAAACGGTGCCCAGCCGAGTTAAATCCGTTGATTAACCTCTCGGTTGAAGTTGGACTAAGCTAGTTGGACTACTCGTCCCAGTTAAACATACTCGTCAACTACTTCGAACTTAGTGCTCCCAACAACCACCGGCATATGTGTGACCTGTACATTACACATGACTTTCGTTTTGTCCACGTTCAGCTTAAGACCTATCCGTTGGGAGACACTATTCAGGGCATTGAGCATAGTGCTCAGGTCGTCCAGCGATTCTGCCATAAGGACTATATCGTCGGCAAATCGAATGGGTGTGATGTACTCGCCATTGACGTTAATACCATATCCTTTCCAGTCCAGTAGCTTGAAAACGTCTTCCAATGCAGTGGTGAAGATTTTCGAGGATATTACGTCCCCTGTCTTTCACTTCTGCAGTTGAATAGGTTTCGTACTCTGGTTCTGTACTGGGATAGCCATTGTAGCCCTACTGTATAAACACTTCAGCACTTCGATATACCGACAGTCCACTTGGTACCGCTGAAGGGACTGCAGCACCGCCCAAATTTTGACGAAATCAAAGGCTTTCTCATAGTCCACATACGCAAGACAAAGTGGCAGATTGTACTCTTTGGACTTCTGTATAATTTATCGAAGGATATATATGTGGTCTATTGTACTAAAGCCTTTTCGGAAACCGGCTTGTTTGGGAGACTGGAAGTCGTCCAGTCTGCGTGGGAGACGATTCGTAATGACTCTCAAAAATAGCATTTAGGCGCGGCTCAGAAGGGAAGTCGGTCTAAAGTTCTTCAAAAGCATTGTCGCCTTTCTTGAAGAATAAAACAACTGCACTTCTGCTCTAGCCTCCAGAGTAGTCCTACCATGGAGAACGGAATTAAAGAGCTTCTGGAGGACTTCAAGTACCGGTTTCCCCACCCGCTCTAAGGGGCTCCGCTGTAATTCCATCCCTACCTGGGCCCTTGCCGCTTTTAAGGTGCTGGATAGACATTGTAATCTCGCTTAGACTGATGTCCGGGATATCATCGGAATAGTGTCGGATAAGCGTAAGCCGTAAGAGAGCCGTGGTAGCTCGGATGGTTAGCGCTCGCTGTAAATTACCCAGTACGCGAGCAAACCGGATTCTATCCCCGCCGGCACCAACGAAATTGTCAATTGCGATTTAAAGTGCTGGTTTACCACGTGCTCGGCGGTGAAGGAAACATCATGAGGAAACCCGCATTTCTGAGAAATGAGAAAAAAATATATTTCGAAGACATATGAAGTTCGCAAACAAGCATCGGGGCGGCGCGGCGGACAATTCCTTGCTCTAAAACCCTCTCAGAAATCAGCAGAGGCCTCGTGCCCAGAAGTGGGACCTATATAGGCTGTAACTTTAGTGGCGAAAAAGACTTGCTCTTGCATCGTTACTCATACTTGCGGGTGGCTCCAACGATGACGTGTACAGCTGCCCATAGAACTTCTCAATCTCACTTAGAATCACAGGTATCCCGCAAACAATGCTGCCACATTTGGTCTCACAGTTGACTCTTTCTGGCAGACAGACCTCTGGCAAAGACTTTGGATTCCTGGTTCCGCTCAATCACTTCTCCATTACGAGCTCTTTTAAAGTTGCGTAAGTCCCGCCGCATAGGAGATCTGTCTGTTCAGTTGCCTATATGCTGTCAAATCTGCTGACGACTGAAACTTCATCTCCCGTTTAACAGCCATAAGATTACGAGTGTGATCGGGTAATTTTTGTGTTATTCTGTGACGGGTCTTGCGAAAACAGCTCCGACCGCATGGACAGTTTTCACAAGCTTTTCATTCTTAATAAATATGAAGAGGATCTTTTATACAATGGCTCTCAACCTTTAGTAACGAACCATCAACTTTTACACATACTATTTTTGGTATTAAATCCTCCCATATCGGGTGTTTGTAAAACGCTCCCGAAAATGAAGACAGACCATAGTACTAACGAATCCCGATGAAAATAATATCTTTTCACAACGTTTTATTAGCTCTATCGTGTTAGTATAGCTAAATGAAACGATAATTTCATAAAAATAATCATGAAATTACTTAAACATAAAACCAGCGCTGGAATATAAAACACTTAAAATCAGGCGACATGAGTCAATATTCGCGCGACGCCGAATTCGCGCGGCTTGCAGCCCGCTACCTTACCAATACCTAATAATTTACAACACTTGTCTAAATACCTAACTTATCTACTTGACCTACTATTTTGTCACTGTGCTAGTTTCCACCTAGCCACTTTAGTTCCAATTCACACATTAAATAAACCAAATACCTTTCAGACTACTCTCAGAAATGAGAGGAGGCCTGTGCCCAGGAGTGGGACGTATATAGGCTGTAACTTTAACTTTCCCCACAAATTCCCCTCAATTTTATTTAAAGAAATCAAACACTAACTAACTTTATATAAGATTTATTTTTAACCAATTTTTTTTTATTCTTTACTTAAAAATATTTTTCACACTCTATTTTTTATAACAAGCATTTTACTCCATTAAGCATTTTTAATTATTAATTATTCAAATCACATCAAAATTAGCGTCAGGCTTCGGTGTGATAGATAAAACAATTTTAATTCACTTGATACAAACCGGAAAAGTGAAAAAGCTCGAAAAATTGGTACCGCATAAATTGAGTAAATCACACCTACGAATACGCATCTTGTGCTGCAATGGGGCTGATTTACCCAAATGCTAACTAGGCTGGAGCCTAGATCGCAGGGTTTAGTAGGGCTCAGAACTTGCCTTTGCAGGAACACTTATGTACCTACAGAATAAAATTTGGTAAAATATTATCAATAAATAAAAGAAATAGTGCCGCAAGTATTTTATTTGTTACTCTTTCTTTATTTTGGTACAAAAAATAAATAAATTATTTGGTACCTATCGTCTTTGGTTGATTGATCCGACGTGATTCAATGATTTTAAGCTGCTAAAGCTCTCTTTCTACCTCTAATTTTATTAAGGTGTTTTGCCAAGACTGTCCAAGGGAACTTCTGTCAGCCATCTGTTCCACATCTGCACAGAGAGAACGACTCACTGACCCATGGTGCAAAGGAGAAAGTTGATCTTTTAGGTTATCTTTTTGATTCTGAATAACGAGGGGTATACACCGCCGACCATCTCGCAGCGTTTTTGTTTCATGCTTGATGTGCGGTTTACAAAGAGTTCAATGTACAAAGCACTACTCTCACTGGACGTTAACAAATCGAGTGCGCCTGATAGGAGGGATCCTATTGTGTTGAAGACGGGTGCTCGGGAGTTAGCACCGGTTCTTCGGTCTTTTCCGGTAGTTCAGGATAACGCCTAGGTACTTCCTAGGCGTTATCCTGAACTTACGGAAGACAGCCTTAGTACACCCGATCCCTAAAAAGGCGATCGCTCAGACCCGTCCAACTACATCACTACCGCCTCCTTGTTCTCCAAAATAATTGAATTTATTATAAGCTGCCAGCTCATAAAGTTACCTTGAAGACTAACAGCTGAATCTAGTACTACCCCTCTAATTTACATGATTCATAGATGAACGGAAGCAGTAATCTTGGTTGTTATTTTGGATATAGTGAAGACCTTCGACGGGCTTTGGCACACTTCTTTAGTAGCAACTTTACAAGGCGCAGGTTCGGCCGCACATGGAATACTGTTCCCATCTCTGGGCTGGGGCTCCTCAGTACCAGCTCCTTCCACTTGACCGCATCCAGCGCAGAGCGGCTCGAATCGTCGACTACCGAGTGCTTTCCGATCGGCTCGATTTGCTGGCGCTGCGAAATGTTGCATCTCTTTGCATTTTCTTTCGCATATATCACGAGGAGTGCTCTGAGGAATTGTTCGGTTTAATCCCAGCCGCCAAATTTCGTGAAAGCACTACGCGGCAAACGTCCCGATACCATTCACCATCTGGATGCTTGGCGGTCCCTGTACGTTTCACAAGGAGTTTTCTTCCGCGTGCGACCTCTCTGTGGAATAGTTTACCACCGGCGATTTTTCCGGACCGATACGACCTAGGGACCTTCAAGAAAAGAGCTTACTCCTTTCTAAAGGGCCGGCAACGCACCTGCAATTCCCCTAGTGTTGCGGTTGATCATGGGCGGCGGTCATTTAACATCAGGTGAGCCGTATGCTCGTTTGCCCCCTTTTCTATAAAAAAAAGCTTCCTTTCTATGGGCTTCCCGAGAAACTGTGCAATTGAAGTGAGTGAGACTGAATATGTTTTTGCTGCTAGGTAGCAATCCATTTTATCTTCCAATACAGCAGTTATCGCGTTTCAAATCGCTTCTTCTGACCAGTTACCGCGGTCTGTCTTTTATAGTTTCTAACCATTCTGAAATAATAAAAATCTTTAATTTTGATTTCGAAAGGACATCATCTTTTTTGGTCCAAATATGAAAGTGCCGGCCAATAAAAAAATATGCTGTATTCCGTTAGAACTTGTCCCCCTGAGTATTTATTATTATGACACCAAAGCTGTAGGGTCATTGTCCTTGGTTTTATTGGAGTTCAAAAATTCAACATATGAAGATGAACACTTTCAGTGAATTTAATAAACAAAAACAAATGATTTGTTCTACCATATTTTTATTTTGAACATCGTTTAGTAAAAAATATATTGGTTCTTGACCTATTTCTGACAAGATAACATTTAAACCACTAATATTACTGCATAATCGGCTGGGATGCCGGTACTTTTTCCTAGAAAATGGCAATAACAATGGCCGCGCAGGTAAACACTCACGCGAACAATGGAATACGGTGCAGCGAGCAGATGCCCCTCTCTTTCCCGCGAACTACCGCCATCGCGCCAGGCTCATTCGTTTGCTAGCATTCGCGTTTATTGTTTAGTACCGAAAGCAACGCTGCCGTGTATGTCTGTGTGATGCCCACTAGTTCTTGTGCTTTGATTTGTTTTGTTTTTGTTATCTCCGTTGTTAAGTTTGAATATTGCTGCGAGTCATGGCAGAGTTGTGTATCGCGTGCCGTGCATCGACAGAGAATCGGCGAAGATATGATTGGGTTTCAGAGAAATGCAATATCTTGATATCGCCCAAATAGTGATAGAAGATATAGTAGCTCGACAGTTGGAGCCTACTGGGTTCATTTGTCGACCCTGTTGGCAAAGAACGGAACGAACGCACCAGTGACTTATTCGGGAGGCTGAACAGCAAGCTGATCAAGACCGTGATCCATCGGAAGTTCCAAATTCAAGACCAATTTCGCTGATTTTGCCAGGTCTTCTTTGTGCTCCAAACACCGCAAATAGTTGCATTTTCCTACATTGTACAAATGAATCTCGCCGTCGTGTTCCAGAGAACATAATTTTTCGCATGGTATGCCGCTACAGCTATTTCGTGCCAGAAAGCGCGCGTGTCTGTAATGAACACGTGGAGCAAAATCTGTGGCATTTACTTCCTGTACAAGACAACTCTTCTGAGGAATTCACTGCAGCTCAAATAATGACTATCGTGTCGATGTTACAAAGACATATTACGGAGGAAATACTTGATTTTGAGCAGTATGAAAATATAGCACCAGCCGAGTTTCATACTTGGACAGGACTGACTCAAGATCAGTTTACTGAATTATTAGACAGTTTACCAAGTCTGAAACTAAAAAGAATAAAAGAACCGTACTGGCGGCAGTATTAGTCAAGTTAAGAACAGGTGACTCGAACGCGCGGCTTGCTAATATTTTTAAATGTAGCGAAACAGCGTTTCATACGTGGTTAAAAATCGGACGCAACGCTCTGTTAGAAGATTTTATGCCCTTAAATGTTGGGTTTGACCATATTTCCCGTGAGGATGTAGCACACAGGAATCTTTTTCTACCCAACAATCTGTTTGGGTACCCATCGAGCCCAGAAGATGAAAGGAAAGTTATCACGATTTGTGATGGCACGTACATCTATCTGCAAAAAAGTGGAAATTATTTTTTCCAACGCAAGTCTTACAGCCATCACAAATACAGAAACCTCCTAAAACCGTTCCTCTTGGTTTCTTGTGATGGACACATTATCGAAATTAACAGACCATATGCTGCCACCACGTCTGACGCAGATATAATGAATGATATGCTTAATAATGCTGACAGTGCCTTCCACTGGTTTTATAGGAGTGGCGATGTTTTTATTCTGGACCGTGGTTTTCGAGACTCAGCAAGAAATCTGGAATCTTGCGGATACGTACAACATATGCCTCAAACAAAGTATCCAAATGAGACACAGCTAACCACGGATCAGGCCAATAAGTCCAGACTGGTAACAATCTGTCGTTGGGTGGTTGAAGTGGTCAACGGCAGGTTCAAAAGAGATTTTCGCCTGTTGCGAAATGTATATAATAACAGAGCTCTTCCCAGCATGTTCGACTATTTCAAGACAGCAGCGGCGATGATAAATCGTTTTCATGTTTTGATTGAAGATAATCCAAATGCTGCTGCGATTTTAGAGATTATCCACCAAAGAATTAATATGCAAAATAGATTGGCAGATCTTGTAATACGCCATAACTACAATCGCAGACGTGCTCAGTTTACTTTAATGATTGCAGATATGCCAGAGTTTGTAGATTTTCCAAGAATGGATGAGAACGAATTATTATTATTCGCTCTGGGCGTTTATCAACTAAAACAGCCCAAAAGCTATTACGGTGAGCACGTCCTTGACAATGGAGCATTCACAATTGAACTCAGCAATGAGTTATCAAATGAAGACTTGGCGGAATTGCAGGGCAATGATTTATGGATGATAAGAGGCCGACTGCAATCGCGGCATGTTAGAGCAAGACAGTATTATGTCTACATTATAATCGATAGGTCGTTATCAGGCCGACAAGCAATCGCTCACTATTATTGTTCGTGCATCATAGGAAAGCGAACAATTGGATGCTGCTCCCATATTATGTGCATTATATGGTACATGAGCCATGCACGACATTTGCCAGCAATAACCCCTCCAGCTTATGGATTGGAGAACATTATTGTTGTACCAGACGATGATGATTTTATAGTGTTTAATTAAACAAAATAACCCCTGTATACATATTTTACTTATAATCCTCAAAAACACAAAACAAGATCAACATGTCCAAAATAGGTCAAGAACCAATATATTGTAGTGTTATGCTTACATACATACTTACATATCATTTTACACTATTTTATTTTTATTTTTCCATTCTGTTTTTGATTTTCTACATTCACCTCAAAACTGGATATTTTGCATCACCTTTATTTCCATAGGATCCTGTAATATTTTTAATTCATAAGAACACAATAACAAATCATTTTCACTTCGTATTTTCACGTTATCAGCACTTTTTAAATCGGTGTCAATGGAGTCTACCTTTTTCGATCTTTTATTTAGTTCTCCGTAACTCTACAATTTCGGGTTTCGTGCGCGCTCTTGCGCTACCTTTTTTCCTATATAAATAATATCTCATTTTTCACTTAAATCTTGCCGTTTCTGTATTACGAGCTTAAAACCAAAATTTGACATGTTTTGACATCGTTGTTTATCTGGTTGTCGTGGCAATTTTTATTCAAATATTGTTACCGGCCTGATGTTTTTACTTCAAAAATACTCTTTTCTTCTTGGCCATTTACAAAAATTTGCTTTTAATTTAAATAATTTCAAATAATTTCTCGTTCTTATCCCAGATCCGTCAAAAAGTATAAAAGCCGAAGAATCGGCCGATAGAGGTCCTCACTTCAGCTTTGATACGAGAAGCACCTCTTAAAGGCTTTATCCGCACTGCCTCGGGATCTTGCAAGCCTTCTCCTGAAGTCGTCGCCTAGCCACGCCTACGCCTCCACCTATTAGTGCCCGCGCTATCTTCGGCCACTGAGCGTGCTTGTCTCAAGCGCTGCGTGTTCCTACTCCAGACGCTGCGTGTCTACTCCGGACGCTGTGTGTGTCTACTCCGGACGTTGTGTTTGCCTACTTCAAGCGCCACGTGTACCTACTCCAGACGCTGCGTGTCTACTCCGGGTGCTGCGTGTATCTGCTCCGGGCGTTGCGTGTGCCTACTCCAAGCGCTGCGTGTACCTTCTCCAGACGCTGCATGTGCTTTCTCCAGATTCTGCGTGTACCTAGAGCAGGCGCTGCGCACCTATCATAGGCATAGCCTGTGCATACTTCGTTGCAGTATCTTTATTTTTGTTATTTTTTTTAATAATATTGTAAATCACTATCATCATTACAGCCCATCATCACCTTCATACCTTTTTTTATAAAAGAAACTGTAAATCTTTTCAAATTTTTAAATAATTTATTTTATTTTTTGGTTGTTTTGTTGTAGTTAGGTTAGGTTATTTAGTTTTTAATTGTCGCTTCACGACAATTTGGCGCCCGACGTAAAAGTTCTTCTTTTCTTCACCTTAGCTACGCCTTATCCATTTCCTTTTGATTGAATTGCTTTCTCTTTCGTTCTTAACTCTTTATTTACTCATCCTTATCATGTCTTCCAAATTCCAAAACAAAACTTCATCTAGTTTTTCAACTTATCTGGATTATATTTAGACCTACATATAACACTTACATTCATCACCTTAATATTTTTATTCTAGAGAACTAAAAGAGGTACTATCTTCCAAATTCTAAAACAAAACTTCATCTAGTTTTTCAACTTACCTGGATTATATTTAGACTTACATATAACACTTCACTTCATTCATCACTTTTATATTTTTATTCTAGATAACTTAAAGAGGTACAATTTTTAATTACATTTTTATTTCTTAAACTTAACTTTGCACTTAATTATAACAATGAAAAGGGTTATTAAGTACGAATTCCTTAAAATACGAAGTGAAGATTAGATGTGAGGAACCAGCTAATACTGTTTTGCATGACACTACATTTGTATATATGTTTGTATATTTGTATATGTGTTTGTATATTTGTATATGTGTTTGTATATATGTATAATTATTACCTGATTAATTTCTTTATCTTTATCTTCACTCAGGAGCGGATTACAACTCCTTAAATAAGCCTGAATGTACTTTTAGTGATGTTGCTCATCTCTGGCTTTGAGCCCTACCGCTCTGGCCGTTCTTAATCTTTACTTAAGTCATAGCGACTAAAGCTTGCTTAAGATTAATTTCTTTAACTTTATCTTCACTCAGGAGCGGATGACAACTCCTTAAATAAGCCTGGATGTCCTTTCGAATTTTTTTTCCACGCAGGAGCGGATGACAACTCCTTAAATAAGCCTGAATGTCCTTTCGAAAACACACTTTTAGAGTGGTAGTCATTGAATGTGAACTCCACCCTTACCTGAATGCAGATGATGAATGTAAGAGATAGTATATCTGATATTGCCTGGTGATGTCTGTTACTGCAAAGCTGTGTTTTTATGGTTTATTTTGGAATGTACATCTCAAAATTTTTGCTGAGTCAAAAAATTTTCCAGGGTCGGGGGGGAAAATGTAGTGTTATGCTTACATACATACTTACATATCATTTTACACTATTTTATTTTTATTTTTCCATTCTGTTTTTGATTTTCTACATTCACCTCAAAACTGGATATTTTGCATCACCTTTATTTCCATAGGATCCTGTAATATTTTTAATTCATAAGAACACAATAACAAATCATTTTCACTTCGTATTTTCACGTTATCAGCACTTTTTAAATCGGTGTCAATGGAGTCTACCTTTTTCGATCTTTTATTTAGTTCTCCGTAACTCTACAATTTCGGGTTTCGTGCGCGCTCTTGCGCTACCTTTTTTCCTATATAAATAATATCTCATTTTTCACTTAAATCTTGCCGTTTCTGTATTACGAGCTTAAAACCAAAATTTGACATGTTTTGACATCGTTGTTTATCTGGTTGTCGTGGCAATTTTTATTCAAATATTGTTACCGGCCTGATGTTTTTACTTCAAAAATACTCTTTTCTTCTTGGCCATTTACAAAAATTTGCTTTTAATTTAAATAATTTCAAATAATTTCTCGTTCTTATCCCAGATCCGTCAAAAAGTATAAAAGCCGAAGAATCGGCCGATAGAGGTCCTCACTTCAGCTTTGATACGAGAAGCACCTCTTAAAGGCTTTATCCGCACTGCCTCGGGATCTTGCAAGCCTTCTCCTGAAGTCGTCGCCTAGCCACGCCTACGCCTCCACCTATTAGTGCCCGCGCTATCTTCGGCCACTGAGCGTGCTTGTCTCAAGCGCTGCGTGTTCCTACTCCAGACGCTGCGTGTCTACTCCGGACGCTGTGTGTGTCTACTCCGGACGTTGTGTTTGCCTACTTCAAGCGCCACGTGTACCTACTCCAGACGCTGCGTGTCTACTCCGGGTGCTGCGTGTATCTGCTCCGGGCGTTGCGTGTGCCTACTCCAAGCGCTGCGTGTACCTTCTCCAGACGCTGCATGTGCTTTCTCCAGATTCTGCGTGTACCTAGAGCAGGCGCTGCGCACCTATCATAGGCATAGCCTGTGCATACTTCGTTGCAGTATCTTTATTTTTGTTATTTTTTTTAATAATATTGTAAATCACTATCATCATTACAGCCCATCATCACCTTCATACCTTTTTTTATAAAAGAAACTGTAAATCTTTTCAAATTTTTAAATAATTTATTTTATTTTTGGTTGTTTTGTTGTAGTTAGGTTAGGTTATTTAGTTTTTAATTGTCGCTTCAC